GGGTAGTAAATGAAATAAAGTCCAGAAAGTGGGGTTGGATCGGTCACACACTCCGAAAAAATAACTCCAGTATTGCAAAGACTGCCCTAGAGTGGAATCCCCAAGGAAAACGAAAAAAAGGTCGCCCAGTACAAACTTGGAGAAGATCCATCATGGACGAGATAAGAAAACAAGGAAAGTCTTGGAATGAGGTGAAGGCCTTAGCGCAAAATAGAACCCGATGGCGCGTTTTCACTGAAGCTCTATGCTCCACTTAGGAGTTCAAGAACCTTATATATATATATATATATATATATATATATATATATATATATATATATATAATATATTTTATTATACGAGGAGGTTTCAATATACTTAAAAGAATCAATGAAATTGAAAATGCTACAATGTGACAATGAAAAGAAAATGTAGTGCAATGGAAACATATATTAATACTTTTGAAAAAGCCCTGCAGTAAAAAAATAAAAATCAAACAAGTTGCTCTAAGTTTACTAAACGAAGCAAATTGGATTAGAAATTATTATTACAGTGAAATATTTGAATTGGTTACTGATATTAAAAAAAGCCAGTTGCTATAAAGAAAATACTAATATTAAAAAGCTATTAAAAAAAATTGACATCACATCAATTTGGTATCACACAAGAATTTATCTCAAAAACACTGCCAATAATTTTGAATCAAAATTATTAGATTTATATAGATGTACCTGAATAGGATAAGCCACCCCTGGCTGTGTTCTACATTTCCTGTCGCTATACTCAAGACCTCAGTCCTCGAAGCTTTGAAAAGGTTCATTTCCTCTTTTGTATTAGTTAAAACGATTAACTCAAGCATACACTTGCCCAAGGAAATGAATCTGGCAAGGCTTTTATGATTCAAAACGATTTATTAGATTTTTTATGTCTTACTTTTAAAGATCTTCAATATATTTACAATTGTGCTCTAAATAATATGAGTTTAAAAATTTGCATATATCTGTAACAATGAAATAATATAATATTTCGTCTGTCGACAAGAAAAAGTCACTAAGTGCTGCTACAAACTATCTGAGAAAATTGGACTTAAACACTTTGGTAAGTGTTCTATTTGACTAAAATTTCAGTTTTATTTTGATTCTTATGAAACGTGAAAGATTTAACGTAACATTGCCTAATTATAATACTTAGAGTTTTAGTACTTCCTCTTCTTCTTTGTTGTGGTATGCAATTTAAAGCTTTATTTGGCCATCTATCTTCATTCATTCGCTTCACGTGACCATACCACACTAGTTGTCTTGTTTCAATTCTGTCTACACTGGAATATATAGTATTTGTCCTCTTTCTAATATCTTCATTCCTGATATGATTTTTTTTGGATAAACCACACGATCTCCTTGGAAAATCCATTTCTACTACTTCTATTCTTTTTCTATATTTTTTCGTGATCTACCAAACTTCTGCCCCATAAGTCATAATAGGCTCTACCAAGGTTCGATAGATTGTCAATTTTGTTTCTTGTCTAATATCTTTAGACCATAGTAGAGAGTTTAGAATGTTAACCGCTTTTTTTCCCTGCTGCGTCCTGTTTTCGATGTCTCTTTTGGTAGCACCTTCTTTAGATATTATAGATCCTAGATATTTATATTCATTGCATGTTTTTGTGTTTCTAATTTCTAACTCTGGATCTTTTTCATCATCTCCTATTTTAAGATACTCTGTCTTTGACATATTCATATTGAGGCCCCATTTTTCATATTCTTTCTTTAGTTTTCTAAACATGTAGTCCATGTCTTTCTCATAATTCGCTACGACTACCTGATCATCTGCGAAAAATAAAGTTGTTAGACATTTACCACCGCCTAGGAGCGGAACCCAGCTTGTTCACAAGGTTGGTAACTATCCAGTTTGTTCACAAGCCGCTTTGTTATTATCTTCATGAATAGTTTGTATGTATGGGAGAGCAAACTAATAGGTTTGTAGTTCTTTAGGTCTGAAATGTCACCTTTTTTGTGCATTATGGTGAACAAACGTGAACAAACAAGTACAGTAATAAAAGAGTAAGAGAGGCTGGAGAAAAAGCAGAATAACGACACGAATGTTGCACTTTAGAGTGAAGCAAAGAAGAATATACGCAATGAAGGAGTGAATGGAGCATAATGAAGTACCACTATCGCTTGATCAAAGCCGCGTATATTTTCCACCTTGCCTTTCTCAACATTTTGACATTTTATTGGGTAGAAATTGTACACTATCGTCAGATACAAAAAAATTCGCTTAGTGTTCTTTTTAAAAAAATATTTCATCTCATTATATATTAAAAATCAAAATATATTAGTCTGTTAATAAAGTCGTTCCAGGAACGACACTCAGTAATATTGGCAATATCATTTTAAAGTCAACTTTAAAATATATAATATATTTATCTCTGAATTGTCAATATGAATGGGCTATAGTTTATTTTTATGAACGAGAGAGTAATTAGCATAATTTTAACTGGTATCTCCGACCACTCCATGGGCGTGCTCAAGATTAATTGAAAAATTACTTTGAATAATTGTAAAAAATAAATGAATTATTTCAGTGTTATAAAGTGTTATGTGTATGTAAACAAAAGTGACCTCGTTTATCATACACTATATAAGAACTGACTGGCCTACATTAAAAAGGGTTTTAAAAAATTCACATTTTTTTTAATTTTTAAAAATTACAAAAGAGAAAAAGAGTTTTTAAAACCGTCTAAGGTATGTTAAATAGATGAATAAAAATATTAATATAAAACTTACAGCTACTTGTTACAAATCCAAATCAGATTCAGAAGATGAACTTTCAGAACCAAGATTTATAATAACTGGCTTGATCATTTTATCAGTAATATTGTCCAGCTTCCACATTTTTTCCTCTTCTTTAATAGTGTGATTTACTGCCTTTTCCCAGTTTTCAGGTTTTACATTATTTACGGCCTCCAAAAACAACTGTTTAACATCATGAATTTTAAAAGTGGTATTTTTTCTTGAAAATTTACTCTTTATCTGTGCCCATATCAGTTTAATCGGGTTTAATTCACAATGATATGGTGGGGATCTAAGTACTGTCATTCCACGATTTTTGCCAATTTCATCAATTTCGTATTTTTTAAATTTTTCTTTATGAAGAGCACACAACGAATAAAGTTCCTTTCTTATAGATCCGGAATGGTACGTAATATTTTTTGAACTCAGCCAATTCTGCAAGTCTTTTTTTAACCACTTGGTTGTGGGCAGTCCTTCTATAAGTCTGGAGTGATAACTTGCATTATCCATTCCTATTACACAGTTCTTAGGAAGAAGATCTATCATTTGTTCGAACCATTCTTGAAAGACATCAGCGTTCATGTCTTCATGGTAGTCACCGGTACGAGTTGATTCAAAAGTTAATAAACCACCTTCAACAAAACCGTCTGAACTGCCAATGTGTACTATTATCAGCCTGCGTCCCTTTCCTGATGGTGGGTTTAAACCAGTAGATAAGTTATTTACAAAAGCGTGCCTTTGACTTATAACAGTTTCATCCTGCCAAAATTTATTTGGTGTATGACCCTCGTTGATCCATGTTTCATCAAGACAAAACATTTTTCTTTTTTGGTTTCTCATTTCCTTTATGGTTCTTAGAAAATGTCTTCTCCATATGACAATATTGCTTCTTTCTAATAAAATAGATTTTCTGGGATTCTTTTTCCAGCGGAAGCCTATTTCTTTTAAAAGTTTCCATAACGTACTTCGACTCATTTCTGGGTAATCCTTATCATCTCGAACTGAGACAAGAACTTTATCCAATGTTGGAAATTCTTGTCTAAAGAAGAATTCATGCACTTTCCGTCGAAGTCCTTCTTTAAAATGATATTCTATTTGAAATTTTGGTTTCCCTGGAGCATTACGTGGCATTTGAAAACTACCACATTTCTCTTCTTTAATAACTCTGTAAATCGTAGATTTCCCAACACCAAGTGTACTGCTAACTAACTCAACGGTCTCATCAACACTTTCACATAAACGTTTGTCTGTAAATGATTTAAAACAATTAAGTATTAATGTTTTTTCATTAACTGTTAAAGGACCAATTTTTCGGCGTTTACACGGCACTTCCAAATTTTCCATAACACTAGTATACACAATAAACTGCACATTGCAACTGAAGTACCTACTTTTAGTGAACTGTTAAGAATTTTGAATGCGCCACTTGGACCTTCCTACAAAATGGAAAAACCCACTATTACATTTTCTGTGGAATAAGTTTAGAAGGTAATTATCTAGTCAATTACTGTCGTAGATTCCTGGAATTAAAGAATTAAATGTTGGATTGTTGAAACCCTTACTTCGTGGAATGAACTCATTTCAGATAAAATAAAACGTTTTATTTTATCTAAAGAATTAAACTTTATTTTGCAAATAGGTAGGTACTTATTAAACTTTTATTGGTTATATATAACCAATAAAATAAACATCTTACATTTCTTGCAAATTCATTAGTACCTGTCAACCTCCATCACTCCGACACTGGCAACCTTATTTAGGGATTGGTAACCCTTACAACTATTGTATTCTATTCTGCTCCAACCTTTATACCTGGTGGTCATACTCAATTTAAAATTGTTTTCCTATATACTTCTGTAAACTTATTGACAAATATCTGTTTTTCATTGAGTCACCCGTATCAACAGTTTAGGGATTTGCATACATAATTTATTGTTTTATTACTCTCTCATACATAAAAATACACTATAGATAAAAATAAATTATTAGGAGAATTTTTCACCAAGTAACAAAAAACAAAATTTGTTTAATTTATTAATGTTTGTATTTTGAGAACGATTTCCGAAGTGGAAATTGGAACGTCAATAAACTTATTTTTACACTTAAATTGTGGCTTATTCCTAAGAAAAATAGAAATTTCATTAAGATGCCACAAGAAAATAGCTTCAGAACAATATTAAAAAATATGATTATTGTGAACTTTATTTTATTTTATATTTATTTTTTAAGATTGCCAGTCCAGCGTGTACGGAGCTTGAAGTCGTTACGTTAGATTGGCTTGGAAAGATGTTGGGGCTCCCAGATGCTTTCCTCGCTTGTTCCGGTGGCAAAGGAGGTGGCGTTATCCAGGGCACTGCTAGTGAAGCCACTTTAGTAGCGTTGCTTGGAGCTAAAGCACGAACGATTGACAGAGTTAAAAAAGAACGTCCCGAGTTATCCGAGACGGAAATCGTTGGGAAATTAGTTGGATACACGTCGAGTGAGTTTAGTTTAAATTTTAGATTTTTTGTTCTTAATGTTTGTTACGATTTGAAGTAATGTAAAACAATATAAATTTTTAGATCAACATCACACAGAAAGATATAAAAATAATAAAAATTATTAAATTATGAAATTGTTGTAGGCCTTAAAATAGACTACAGTATACAATGATACATTAATCAGTATCATTCCTGAGAATACTATAAAGAATTACTTACTGAAGTTGAGGATGGTGCCGTAAGGTATTGTCAATTAACAATTGAATGTAAGAACATATTAAAAAGACGAGATAAAAGAAACGAGGAGAGGACAATTAATTTAATAGAAATAAGGGAATCAATAATTTGCATTCCACATGCCGTTCATCACGGTAAAAATTCTTAGCGCATTTAGCTTCTAGTTCTCGAAATCAAGTAAAGAACTAAAACAGAAAGACGGTCTTGGATTTAATTTCAATGCAGAGCATCTGCCATCTGCTTATACGTATTTCAACCTCAGTAGGTATCGTTTGAGCCTCTGCATTTAACGCTGTGATGATAACTAATGAGGTTGAAATGCGTATAAGCAGATATCAGATGCCTTGCACTGAAATTAAATCTAAGACCGTCGATCTGTAATAAACCAATAATTCGCAATAGAAAAGCTTAGGATGGATAATTGACAACGAAGAGAATTATGTGGTAACTTGGAGAATTAGAAAATAAAAAGGAATATTAAAATGTTATAACGTTATAGGTTTTAATAACGTCTATCATAGAGAAAACTGGGAACTAATATACATAAAATGTATAAGAGAGATAATGTTTGTAATATTGTATCGTTCAAATGCCGCCACGGCTTCGTTAAGTTGCGCTCATCCTAAATGTCTTATTTTTCACGACTATGGCGCATAAATTAGGCTGAATTTGACCAATTGTATTATATATAGTCAACTAATTTCATCATCATCATCCAGCCGAATTTTCACATCCATTGTTGGATATAGGCCTCCTCCAAACGTCTCCAGTTCTCTCTATCTCTAGCTGGTGCAATCCAGTTTGTTTCTATTCTCCTTAGGTCGTCGGTCCATCGGATGGGTGGTCTGCCTCGACTTCGCTTGTGGGCTCTTGGTCTCCACTCCAATAATCTCTTCGTCCATCTTCCGTCTTCCATTCTAGCAACATGTCCAGCCCACCTCCACTTTTGTTTATGGATTCGCAGTATAATATCGTCTACGCCAGTTCGTCGGCGTATATCCTCATTTCTTACGTGATCTTTCAAGGTCAGGCCCAGCATTGATCTCTCCATTCTCCTTTGTGTTACCCTCAGTTTTTCGGCAGTAGCTTTCGTTAAAGTTAAGGCCTCTGCTCCGTAGGTCAAGACTGGTAAGATGCATTGGTTGAATGCCTTTTTTTCAGGTGAATTGTGATATTTGTTTTAAAAATGTCTCTCATCCGTCCATATGCCGCCCATCCCAACATGATTCGTCTATTTAGCTCGCAGGTTTGGTTGTCTCTGGTTATTCTAATTTCATGACCCAAGTATGTGTATTTATCGATTAATTCTACCTTGTTGTTATTGATCTGTATCTCTTCGCTGGGAACCATATTGGTCATCATTTTGGTTTTCTCGAATTTTATCTCCAGCCCAGTTTCTTGTAGTATGTCATTCAGTTCTTGGAGCATGTTTTTGATCTCTCCCAGATTATCTGACAAAAGCACGATATCGTCCGCAAAACGTAGATGGTTTAATCTTTCTCCATCGATGGATATTCCTTTCTGTTGCCATGTTAGTTTTTTAAATGCATACTCAAGAACGGTAATGAACAGCTTTGTTGACATGGTATCACCTTGCCTGACTCCCCTTTTTATCTTTATTTTATTAGTTGCAGAATATAGACTTATGGTTGTTGTGGCATTTTCATATATATTTTTAATTATATTACAATATCTGTGGTCGATCCTGCAATCTTGTAGTGCTCTTAAGATGGACGGTAGTTCCACTGTATCAAACGCCTTTTTAAAGTCTACAAATATCAATGCCAAGGGACGGTTATATTCGTTAGTTTTTTGTATTAGGGTTTTTAGGCACTGCAGGTGATCGTTTGTGCCGTAATTAGGGCGGAAACCAGCTTGTTCCCGAGGTTGGTAAAAATCCAGCTTTGTGTATAATTTATAAAGATAGTTAAAGAGACTGATTGGTTTGTATCTTTCCAGGTCTGCTATATCTCCCTTTTTGTGTAAGAGTACAGTTATTGAATTATTCCACTTAGTTGGGATATTTTGATTCCATAGGCATAGATTAAAGAGCTTTTGAATTTTGGCTATCAGTACTGAGCCTCCTATCCTTATCGCTTCCGTGACGACACCGTCCTCCCCCGGAGCTTTGTTATTCTTCATCTTTTTTAGGGCCTTGTAAATTTCGCTCAACTAATTTACTAAGACGTCAACTAATTTACTAAGAGGTAAATTTAGAAACTGATACTCTATTTACATTAAAGACATGTCTGCAAAAAAGGGTATCAGTGTTCTAAAAATGTAAATCTCAAAAAATAGAAATGGGATATTCACAAAACAAAAAGAAAAATGAAAATATCACAAAAAATAAAAAACAGTAAAAGCCACTATATCAAATATTGGTTAAAACATGTTTAAAGTAGAGACTGCATGAAAATATTATTTAACGTGAAATTAAATAATGAATAAACTTTTTAATAATGAATAATTAGATAAACTTTATGAACTAAAGTAACATCATTGACTGTGGATTGTATGGCTAAAATGTACTTACAATATTTTAAATAATGAGATTAACTGGATGGTGGCCTCGGCACCAGTTAAATCTTGAATAAGGCGGCCTTTTATGATCGACTCTAACTAGGACGAACTAGGAAGCAAGGAGACTCAAATTAGGACAAGAAGAACGTCCATATTAGTATAAACTTGGACACGAGGGGCTCCAAGGAACTTGGACACCCAATTAGAACCCTAGTTAGATGAGAAAGTACAAAATCAAATATGGAAAAAATAAAAGATAATATAAATATATTAACAGGGACCTAGAACACGTGTAGCTCAGTCATTTACATCTTGATGCAAAACCGAAAATAAAAAAGAATTGGAAATATATGCTTTTTTATAGAAAAATATTCAAATCGGTAAGGTACCCTTAGCTAACGTCTTCTAGGTGGTATAAGTAAAAATAATTCTATTTGACCTTACGGGATATTTTTTGGTACCTCGGCAAAATCTTCTATCCCTTAAAGGGATTCCATCGTTGTGTTTGGTCATTTGCAAACAAAATGTTACTAGACAGAATCGGTATCTATCGAAATTATCAAAAATAAATGAATAACGGTATTTTATACAGAAAATTCGCAACACAGTCGTAAATCGATAAAGCAAAAAATATTTAGGTAAGAATTACACTGCTCTACTGAGTGGTGACAATATATCGGGAATTTAACACAACATAAAATAATTTTTTGGGAAATATATACAAAAATTAAACATATACTAAGAGTTACGAAAATTAGACAAAACGTAACAGTCGGTTAAAAATAACACGTTTTAATTTTTTTGAGGTTATGTTTGGGTCTAGGGGTCTAAATTTTTTTTTTTTAGTATTTTTTGATCTAGAATTACATTGATACTGATATTTTTGAAATATTTCAGGGGGAATTTTACTATCTTAACCGACTTAAATGAAAATGATTTTTCGTTATTGTAACCATGATGCCCCACCTATAAAAATCTAAACAAAATCATTAGGATAATGTGACACTCAACCAATAATATATAAATTGTTTTGAAGCGGAGTTCGAGATAGTTTTTTTTTGAACGAATTTTAAAACTTTAAAAGCGTTTAAAAATTTGAATTTTCCGCCAAAAAATTTGTAAAAAATACCATGATATAGACAATAAAACATTCTACAAATAAAAAAAAATAGGTTTTTACCATGATTAAAACCGAAGATACATCAAAAAATGAAAAAACACGTTTGAATTTTATTAGAGGCTATGTTTTGTTTTTTTTTGGTCAGCTACTTTTTGATACAGAACAACAGAGTGTTTTTATTGTTGTAGTATTGCTGGGAGCATTTCTCACTATTTTAACCGGCTAGAACCGATTTAAGAAACCCACAATCTATTTAAAGTTATATTGTATTTTACGTTGATTTTCTATTAACCTTATTAATAATTTTTGTATCAATGTTTAGGCCAAAGCCACTCTTCTGTGGAACGTGCTGGACTTTTAGGAGGAGTGAAACTCAGGTCACTTCAGCCAGATGAATCAAACAGACTGAGCGGAGCATTATTAGAAAAAGCTATTCAAGAAGACATAGAGGCTGGACTCATACCATTTTATGTAAGTAAAATAAAAGATATTTCTTATTGTTATAGAGGGACTGAAATATATTGTACATTTTTCATTTAACAACTTTTGTAAAATATCTTGGTCATGACAATAAAAAGTATAATGTACTATCTGCAGAAAGTATCGGAGTTCTGACTGGTAAAATGTGCAATTTTCCAAGTTTAATTATAATTTAGCCTCTCTAACTCTTTGCAAATTTTCTTGTAGGTGGTTTAAATTGTCTTGAAGTGTCTTCGATATTACTACAATTTTGTCTTAGCAGGCGAATGTGAACTTTAAATCGGGAGCTAGAAAGTTGCTTCAGCGTGTAACGTGGATGCGTAATAAACATCCCGCACACACATTAAGTTCAAGCCAGAATCGCTCAGTTCGGAGATGAGGGCGGGGCAAGGTCAATTGTATAAAAATTAAATAATATCTCAAAAATCCAAACACAATCAGACAATTCGAAATTATAATTTATTATTGGACGCCACCCCTTGTTTATCCTCGTAGGGGACGAGAGAGAATAAAAAAATAAGATATATAAAAAATTTACTGCGAAATTACACTTTATTATTTCTCAGTAATAAAAAGGAACATTTCCAAAGGATACTAAAATACCATTTCATAATTACATTACTATAAACAAAGCAACTTTCTATCTTTTTAAATCAAGAATTGGTTGATAAAAACAAATGAATTTATATATTAATCCCAAATTTCGAAATTCGTTTACATTTAAAATATTACAGTAGTTATTTATTAACTAGGCATAATAGAAAAGTTAAATCTATTTATTAACTTATAACTAACTACATTTTCTTTCTCTAGTCCATAAATATTCTCGCTTTCTCGATAGGGTATAACAAAAAAAGAAAAGGTACAACCTTAATCGTCCATTAGCTGGCAACCATACACAAAGGATATGTTCTGCTTCCTCTCAACCTCCAAGCATTTCGTAAAATTAGTTATTAGGGGTCCATTTATTTAGATCATAAAGGATTATTGGGCTGCGTTTACGACAGCATAAGACTTCTCAGTTAACTTCGAGTCAAATAAACATAATTAATGATCTTTTATTGTCCCCGGTAAAAGAAGGTCTCCATATAGAGACCACTTCACAAAAACACGTCCTAACAGTTGGATGTTTGTAAGAGAAAAGAGACAGACGCTATCATTTCCCGGTTTGAATTGGGGCGTGATTGACCAGTTAATAATCGTTCTCATCTATCGGATAGGTTTAGAATTACAGTAGAGATCTTCAGTCGGCTACAAGTATCCGGCAGATAGATGGGGTTAACAGTTTAAAAAAAATAATCGAATTTAAAATAAATTTACTAAAACTTTTAAAACGGTTCCAAGCGGAGTGCAGGTTAAATAAAGTGATTCTAAATTATTTCTTCTTTCTATAAAACATTTCTTCTCGGTGCCATTTATTTTGTCTAGTCATATCTCTATCGAACTTGGCTCTATAGAATTTTGACTAAAAAATCGACTCCTTGTAGCGTCTTCTGTTAGTCCATGCATTATTATGAAAATTTCTCGGGTCTGCAAATTATCGATCTTACAGTCGATAGTTAATTTCTGATTTATTTTCATTGATGAACCATTTCTAGTCTGGTTCTTCCGCTATAGTTTCTTAAAGAAGTACTTATATGCCTATGAAATTATGTCTCCAGCATAACTTTTAACAGCTCCTGTATCAATAAGTGCTTTGTAAGTTTTATGAACGATGTTTAATAATGGATAAAGTCGTTGCTATACAATACATTTATTGTGGTCAATTTATTATAGATTAATTACAAAAGTTTTGTTTCAGAACAAAAAAAATTGTTTATTTTAATAATGATGTTTTTTATTAAAATTTTAGGCTGTGGCAACACTTGGTACCACGTCTTCATGCACCTTCGATAGATTGGACGAAATGGGCCCAGTTTGCAACAACAATAACGTTTGGCTTCACGTTGATGCGGCATATGCTGGTTCTGCTTTTATTTGCCCTGAGTACAGGTAAGATTTATTAACTATAATGCTTAAATTTAATATTTGCTAATATATATCTACAGTGTGACATTAAAAATGAAGCTCATTAAATACTCAAGTAGTTTCTATTTCTATTTTGATACACCTTATTGATACATATGTAACAACAGACCGCTAAGTCCACTAAAGGCTTTAACTAACTCAATCAAGTGTAGAATTGTTCTTTTCTTAATATAAAATATACAAGGAGGAAATCAGATAAAATAGAGAATTGATTTTCTATATTTATTAGGGTAAACTGGTCCACAAGTACTTTTAGTCACAAGAGGCTGTCCTCGGCTAGTCCACGGTCTGTAGTTTTTACATAAGACTAGTACCTCTAGTTGGTCAGTAAGCCCAATAGGCCAGCTGAACGAATGAGAGATTCAGTGGATCGATTGTTCAAGCACTACCCGGGACAAAAAGCAATACATATTAGTATCAAATCTAAATGGATCTGCGATATGCGTAATTTGTACGCCAGTTTCTCGAAAGATCACTTCAAGCGTGCTTTTTACAATCTTTCAATCCAAACCCTCCAGTACGTGACCTATTTTTGGTATAGCCACATGCTTAATGTCATAATTGCATACGATTTTCTTCAAATGAGTTAGAGCACGCCATATGTCCTCGTAGCTTGCCTTGTCTGTATAAGTCTTCCTGGTGACCATATATAGCAAAAATTGAGGACCGTCTTCTAATTCCAGTACTCTTTCAACTTTACTAATTGTTTAACTCGTTCAAGCGACTGAACTTTATTTAAATATTACTTTATTCTAATATATTGTCTCGTGCCTCCGGATAAGCGAACCGTACTATACGAGCAACATCTGCTTTAAACTCTTACAAATTTTTACTTGCTCGTTGAATTTTACTTCTTAGTTGGGCTTTGTAGTTTGTCGTTGTTGTTTCTTGTATATGGACATCTCCGTAGGGTTTATCTAGTCGAATGAACAAGGTCTGGTAACATTTTTCTTGACCCTCAAGAATCCATCTTAGGATATCCTCAGCGTCACCTCGTAAAACTCCAGGCAAGGAAACAGCCTTCTCTTGTTCAGTCCAATCATAGACTGCCGCAATAGCTTCAAATTCTCTAAGGTATATGGACCAAGGAGACTTCCCATCAAAAAGTGGCAAGTTGAATCTCATCTGATGTATCGTTTTGTCTCTCGGTCGATCAGAATTCTTTTTTCACTACAGGATCTAAAACTACTGAATTAACTGGCGGTAGTACTTTTGTATTGGTTATCAAGCTCTCTCATTATTTGATCTTCTCTTTTACATCATCTACATTTTTTTGTATCTTATCAAATGTTCTAGAAACTTCTTCAAATTTCTCATTTTTCAGTCTGCATACTTCTTTAATTATTTGAGAAGTCTTATCGAATCTTTTTGAAACGTTTTTGAATTTCTCGTTGTTTTGTTTAGCTACTTTAATAATTTGAGAATTTTCTTTAATTTTCATTAAAGGTGCTTCTTCTTGCTGATTGCAAATGGAATGTATCTAGGTAATCTCCATTTTTGTTGAGTATATCCCTCAGTCGTTCTTAAAGAATTCTCTTTTACCTGCTGCAGTCTTCATCACACTGACAAGCAAATAAATGAAAACATCAGGAACACCAAACAAAAATGTCCAAAGGCAAAACTTTGAAGAAATTTCAGTATATGCACGATACTTTCAATCTACATGAGAAAATTTACAGCAGGTCTGTAAAGACCTAAGAATCTGCATTTTATAGGGATGAAATATACATTTTATTACTTTTCTTACAATCTTCGTGATATTTCTGTTTATTCTGATATTGTTCGTATGAAGCTGTTGGGCTCAAAACATACACCCTGATTTGTACTATTGTCATTTTTACAATTAATTCATCTAAATAGTTTATTCGTATTATAATTAACACTGTTTTCTTTCAGGTATCTCATGAAGGGTGTAGAAAAAGCAGATTCCTTCAATTTTAACCCCCACAAATGGATGTTAGTTAATTTTGACTGCTCTGCTATGTGGCTAAAAGACCCATCCTGGCTGGTAAACGCATTCAACGTGGATCCTCTGTACTTAAAACACGACCAACAAGGCTCAGCTCCCGATTACCGCCACTGGCAAATTCCTTTAGGAAGAAGATTTAGGTCTCTTAAATTATGGTTTGTGTTAAGATTGTTCGGTGTGGAAAACATTCAAGCGCATATTAGAAAGCAGATTGGTTTGGCTCACGACTTCGAAGCTTTAGTTAGAAGTGACGATAGATTTGAAATCACAGAAGAAGTTTTAATGGGTTTAGTCTGTTTTAGACTAAAAAGTTCCAACGAGATAAACGAAACTTTATTGAAGAGGATCAATGGTAGAGGACTCATTCATTTAGTACCTTCCAAGATTAGGGATACGTACTTCTTAAGATTGGCCATTTGTTCAAGAATGACCGAGAAGTCAGATATAGAAGTATCATGGAAAGAAATTAGGGCTGCAGCGGACGAAGTTTTGACCAAAAAAGAATAATTTATTATATATTGACAAAGCCTAGATTGAAAAAAGTGATCTGTACATTTAATTTATTATATAATTTATAATTTAGTATAATTATTGATTAAGATTTGCTTAATCATTTAATGAAAAGAATGATAAGACGCTGCCAAGCAGTTATTCAAGATCAAGGGAGACAGATATGTTTATTTATTGTTCCCCATTTATGTTAAAATCTAATTTACACGCTTTTTATAAGCAATTTATAATACTCTTTCAATTTTACACTATTTTAAATAAATTCTTATATTATTTTTGTACATTTGACTTGAATAATCATCGAATATATTTATAAACCTAGTATGAAAAATATCTTTTAAGAGTACGCTTAGTAAAGTCATAGTATTTATTTTTGAGAAATTTCAACTGCTTCAAGAATATTGTTATTATATTTTTTAATAAAAACGTTTAATAGTTTACTATGTTATAATTTTTGAAGGTCAAATTTTACAGCAGAAAATAATTTGTAACGAATTTAGAGTTCATTTTGTCGAGTTTTCACCTCCGATTTACTTGAAGACGCATAAATTTTCTTGAAATTTTAACAGTAGCTAGAAAATTCGTCAACAAGCAAAATCTACCCTAAGTTGATACAATTCTCGGGTATTTTATTTCCATTACTTGTTCAATACTGATGCCATCAACTTATATTTTACATCTAGTGGTTCTTTGCTGATTACTATTGTTTAAGATTTCTGAGATGAGATTGTCATATTAGATTCATTTGCTCTTATGTTAAATCGGTGGACCAGTCTTTGCAGACTCTCTTCATCTTGAGCTATCAATATTGCGTCGTCTACGTAACAGAGTATTTTGATTTAATTGTTTCCCATTCTGTATCCTCTTTCTTTGTTAACGGTTTTGATGATTTTATCCATAGTGAAATTGAAGATTCATCGCCAAATTCAAAAACATGCTGAAAATCATAAAAAGAAAGAATAGAGAATAGAAATCAGACATGAGCTTACTCAAGGATATAGAAACGAGACAGAAGATATCACAAGAACTTAACCACGAATGTCAAGAACTTAAAAACAGACAGAAGGAAAATGATGTACCAGAAGAATCCGACGACTTAAACTAAATATGAAAAGAACTTAAGACTGTATTTCTAAAATATCGTCAGCAAACCTCAAATGACTTATATAGCGATGATCGATACGGCACTCTGTTAAGGCTTTTAACATCTTTTGATGACTTATTGTGTCGAAAGCTTTTTCGTAGTCAACAAATATCATGACTAATGGCTTGTTATATTCAACACTCTTTTCTATTAAGTTCTTAATTATGTACTTGTAAATGATCATTCGTGCCATATCCTGCTCTAAAACCTGCTTGATCTCTTGTCTGATAGAAATCCAACTTACTTCCTAGCCTGTTGGTAATAACTCTTGTAAATAGCTTATATACTTGTGACAACAAGCTAATGGGGCAATAGTTTCTAAGGTCGCTGATATCCCCCTTCTTATGAAGTAAGATGATTTCCGCGTTGTTCCACCGTGTCAGTGTTATCGCTTCGCACAGACATTTATTGAACAGTTTTAGGCTAGTTTTAGACTTTCGGTCATTACCCTGTCTTCACCTGGGGATTTATTGTTCTTCATCACCCGAAGCGCATTTTTGATTTTGTCAACAGTTCGAGTCCTGACCACAATAGAAGAAATAAGCGTTGAATGGCGAACATACATACAAAACCTATTCCCAGACGATAGCCATAGAACAATAAATATTGATAGACAAACAAACATCGAAAATAACGACTTGCCCATCTTAACATCAGAAATAAAATACGCATTAAAAAATATGAAAATCGGAAAAGCCTCTGGACCTGACTACGTTCATAGTGAAATTATACAACTTTTGGAAGAAGACAATTTAGAATTATTATCAAGACTCTTCAACAGTATATACAAGACTGGTACAATTTCACAAGATTGGTTAACGTCTACGTTTATGCCTATACCTAAATCGAACTACGCAAAAAAATGTAACGACTTTCAATTAAAAAGTCTTATGCCCCATATTCTGAAGCTATTTCTAACAATTATCCATAACAGAATTTACAAAAAATGCGAAGAAGTTATGGGTCCGGAACAATTTGGCTTCCGAAACGGTATGGGAACTCGAGAAGCTTTGTTCAGTTTCATTGTTCTCATGCAAAAGCATCGAGATCAACAAAAAGATGTCTACTTGTGCTTTATAGATCATGAAAAGGCTTTTGACGACAAAAAAAGGCTTTTTAGACGACAAATGACCTGGCTTCGCAACATCAAAGAGTGGATAGGCTTAGACTTTCAAAGTTTAATAAGGAAAGCCCAAAATAGGGAAGACTTTGCAGAGATCATCACCAACCTTCGCTAAGAAGATGGCATCCAAAGAAGAAGAAGAAGAAATTGAAGAGCATGGGGCTCAATGAATCCTCTTGTGTTATTCCGATGCCTATTTCTGTAGGTTCTGTAAGTTGTCCATCTATTCCGACTTCCATTTTTTTGTTTGAGTAGATGTTTTCGATAGTTTTTATAATATTTAGAGGAACTTGTATATTATACAGAAGATGGATTACATCTTTTACTCTGACAAACTCTTTTTTTAGGTCAATGAGACACAGAAATGATGGTCTATTATACTCTAGTGAATTCTCAGTAATTTGCTTCATAAGGAATATTGCATCTGTACATGACCTTTCACTACGAAAACACTGTTGTTTATCTGCTAAACTTATCCTCAGACTTATTAGCATTTGTAAAATTTTAGTTGTAAGTTTTAGCGTAATAGTTAACAAGTTTATATCTCTGTAGTTTTCTGGCTGTTTTTTATCTCCTTTTTTGAATAGTAGAATTAGTTCGCTCCTTCTCCATTCTTTCGATATTTGATTGTGTTTTATTTATTAATGTTGTTAATTGTTCTGTCCCTGCTGCTCCACAATATTTCAGTAACTTGTTTGTTAAAAAAATGATATCATCAATGCACAAATTTGCATACCTGCAAGCACTACTTCAGAGAGAAACCGCAGAATGTGCAAGGCCAGTAGGAGCTATTTTTAGCTCATTCCCCTTTTCAAATTCTCAATTATCTTAAGAGATACAAAGGTGAAACTCAGCAAAACAATAATATGTCCAGTTCGAATATACAGGTTAGAACCGTGGACTGTGAAACCATGTGAATGACCAGTGAATGACCATGGTGCCTGCAGAAGACAGTAGAACTTAGTACAATATACACCAGGATCAGATATTTTCAAATACATAAAAATAGAATGTCTGCGGTGTTAAAAATGCTTTCCTTGATAGACCCATTGGGCAGAGGAGAATATACAGAACAATTCTTAAAAAAAATAATAATGTTATCGTTCCATTCAATGTTCTATATCTTGTTAACTTTGACATGGTTTTACCTGACATTGTTATAATTTTTAGAGTCTTGATGGCTCTGTAGACTGGCGGACTCACTTTTAGTAAATAATTAATAAATGTATTTTTGATTTATAAATAGCTCAAAATAGCTCCTACGTCGATCGGATAGCCAAGCGGGCTGGGCGGCTCTCTTCTCATTCGCTTCACTGCGAGAGATGTCAGTTCAATCCCCAGCTCGGTGTACAGAAAACAAAAAGACTAACGCAGCAGTTTAAAATTCTAAATGAATCTGCGGCTTAGTCTAGAATATGCTGGTATCTGATTGGCCTATGGTGGAGCAGTACGGCAAGAGATAAGGGCTTGCAACTCGGTTATATATATTTTTGATTTAACACATAAGTGCAATAATTAATTATACCAATCACTCTAGCAATCACAATTTCTTAATAGGTGCAAACTAACAGAGAAAGGAATATACACTACATTGGAATCCTTTTTTGGACAATTAGAGTCAAGCTGTCAAAAAAGATAAAATCTGTCACAAACATTAAAGAGAAAAAAATAGAGCAAAGTCGGGCATTTAAAATATCCCGATATTTGAGAGAAAAAATATGAAATAATAAATACACCAGAGCAAAGAATAAATAAACTGTTATTCTATAAATGACTTAGACAGTCGAGATCTAAATAAAACAAAATGTGGACATATCAACAGTTAAAGTTTGGTATTATTCATCTTCTGATCCCTCTTCATTTTTCGATCGTATTTCCTCGTAGCTCAGGTAAATTTGTGCGTACTATTTACTGAAATATGAGTTTCCTGATGTTGTGCCTGGATCTGTCTAAAGCAGTGTTAGTTTGTTGTTCGTTTAGAATTTGGAAAATCACTATTAAGTACGGTGTAAAGTTCAGGTGCGAGAATGGAACTCGTAGTACTCCTGTTATGGTTGAAAATGTTTCAAAGTTGATTAATGACCTTCTGTCCTAAATACTTCTGGGGGATATAAGTGTAGTAGTTTGTCAAAAATGACTGAGATGCCAACATTCAGTAGTTTCTGAAATAGTGCGGTAGGCTAGACGTGATGAAGGGTTTTCTGAACTTCAAGTTTTCCTAACTTCAATGCCGTTTGTGATGATTTGAGTTAATAAGAAATCGGCTGGTTTAAGTAATGGTGGTCTAGGGTTTTGACCTCTTTTGGTATCGTAATGATATTAGTTACATTTCGCGTATCTTTAAAGTTGCAGATCTTAAGGGAGTGTCAGATTATGTCCAATTGTCATCGTAAATTTATATTTTCTTGGAGTAGTGGGATGCTCCTATTATTTCACTAATGTGTGACCTAGAAGATTCGAATTATGTTGGTATTTATAAAATAATTCGCTGCAAATCGATAATTAAAAATTGTAAATTTTAGTAGAATGTTATGTTTTTGACAAAGTTTTGGTGTTTATATGTATTGTTTATATTTATGAAATTTCTTCTTTTATAAAGATAATATTTACAAATGTACTATATATTTTATTAAACAATTTAAGTAACGTTACAAATTCCAAGACGGTTAATATACACCATACTTAATTTATTTTCTTTTTAGATGTAAATTATATATCGAAAATATCTAAAATGTTGTTAAGTATAATAAAACGCATTTCAAAAACTATACTATTTGTTTCACTGCCGTTCGTATGGTGGTGGGCCGCCATACTGTTTAGTAAGTTGAATGATTCGTTCGGCTTCTCGTATTCCACTTAACCTAGCTCCATGAACTGTTGAGTGATGACCAGCACATGTAGCTTCACCTGTAACGGAGAACATTTATTAAAAAAAAACTGATTTATTGGTGTTCAAAGACCAACATTGTTTAACCCTTCGACGACTGTCAAAGGTACGCTGAGTGCTGGGACACTGAACAACCCGCAGGTGCACTCCGATAAATTTACATTGGTAGTTGTCAGATCTTGCGCCATTTTTTTTGGGTATGACGTCAGTATTTATGATTGCACAAAATCAAATATTAACGAAACAAATAATGTGATCTGAAAACAACAAACACAAAAATGATCGTGCCAACTACGTAACTCCACTCCAAAAATATGGCCGCTGACAATGAGCAAACCAGATGCGCTAACAATTCCCGCCGACTCGAGTGCACCTTCAGGTTGTTCGGTGGCTGAGACAACCACTTTTACAAACATTTTTTTTTTATTAGAAAAAGATGTCGCATCCACCAAAAGGTTATTAGCGACGGAAGAAAATATAAAAAACAAAGTTAAATACCTACAGATTGTACAAAATGTTTATGGATCTAAGCTATATTGTTACAGGAACAATTTTGACCTAGAGCCTGTAGTAGAGCGTTTGGGATCTTGTAGCGCTGTCTTTATTGGTCATATTTACTACAAATTGTTAGAAAATGTTCGACTGTTAATCGGACGTTACACTGATCACATATAGGTGGATTTTTCTTTGTAAAAAGGTAGGAGTACGTTAATCTGGTATGTCCTAGGCGTAAACGAGCAACCGCAATTTGTTCTCGTCTATTGAGAGACGATGGAAACCACTGAGACACATTATTTGTGATTTTATTTAGATTGGAATTAGTTTGAGACCACTCATTTTGCCACAAACACCACACTTTATTTTTAAAATAAGCTTCTAAGTCACTAAAAACATACTTGTCTATCGGCTTTGACAAATCACTTAAAATTGCCTCTCGTGCAGTCCTGTCAGCTTCTTCATTTCTTGTTATTCCGATATTTGAGGGAACCCATAAAAATTGGACGCTTCTTCCATGTTCATAAGAAATAATAATATCTGGAGAATATTTAGATAAAAGCTGTAGCATAGGGAGACGATGAACAAATCCATCAACGTTCCATTGAAGTATCGAGTTGAATGTTGTTAACAGATTCGGAGTTAGATGAGACTGAACAATTATCTACAGAAGAGTCACTATCTAAGTCAGAAATCTCTTTCTCTAAATGGCTGTATAGTTTCTTTTGAAGTTTTGTAAACTTGCTTTTTGTAAATCTATCATTTGCATATTGATAGCTGCTTTGTAAAAGATGGAGTAAACCATCGATATCAGTTGTAAATGCTTTGACGAGGCTAATAGTGTCGGAGAAGCCTTGGACATTATCAATCAGTAAGGACAATTGGTGGTAATTTAAAACGAATGGTGGGGTATGATTATCAATGAAACTTTCAAGAGTTTCCCGTGTAGATGGGACTTTATATGAGCGCGGTTTTTTTTGGTTTAGAGGGTTTGGGTTTTGCAAAAAGTTTTCTGATGAAATTACTGAGTCTGAAGGAGGCGTGACGATCTCACCAATACTGCGTTTTATGGAAAAACTTGTGTTTTCGAAATTGTTATTAGAGTTTTCACTTAGACGCTGTGGCTTTATTACATTTGGAAGTACTGGAGCAAACTCCTTGGTAGTGATAGAACTCGAGCTTGAAGTTTTATTTGTAAGATTGGTTGAAATGGTTGTTTCAGAAAATTGTCTTGATGTATCAGTTTTATTAGAATTTTCTGCAAATGTATCTAATGAAAAAGGAGCTGATAGATTGGAGGATATTGCTTCCGAAGTTTGTGAAAACGGTATTGCTACTGAATGAGGTTGATTGAAAGTGTTGTTATGAGTAGGAGCGTTAGTAATTTTTTTGTCATGGAGATTTGTAGGTGTAGGTGATATGCTTGGATTTGATAATGGATAACTTGATGACTGCTGGGTGTTTGGTACCTTGTGTAGTATACTTGTTGAAGCTGTTTGATTTGGTACTTCATTGTTTGACTCAATATGAGTAGATTCCGTTACTGAACTGTTATTGCATTGGGATGATATGTGTCCTGTATTTTTGCAAATAAAGCAGGTAAGTGTACCTTGTGACAAAAATATGCGGTAAGGTGTTTGATCGAAATTTATTAGAATAGAATCTGGAATTGGTAATGTTATAGGGCTTATATAAACTTGCCTCCGAAAGCTCAATATGTGACTATATTCGGGGAGAGTCGAGCTAATTTTCAGAAATGATATTGGGGAAATAAGCTTTAAACCGATATTCTGTAATTCTTTAACTAAAACTTGATGAGGAATTGACGGGCAGACTCCAGACAATACTAGTCTTTCTGCTGGAGAGACAAGTCTTCGTGCTGTTACAACTTCGCCGAGTACTTTTATAGAGCCATGTTGTGTCATGAAGTTATCTACTACGGTTTTGTTTGCCAAATACATGCAGATTCTATTATGAGATAATCTAGATGAAAAAATAATATTTTTTGGGTTGATGATTGTGCCCAAAGGAATAAGATAATCCTGCAGTTTAGCATTATCGATGCAACTAAATACAATTGCTTTGGTCTTACTCGGAAAAGAGTGAGAAGCGGCTGATGCATAACTGTTTGTGATATTCGAACGTTGATTTACTGGACTGGTTAGATCGGAAGGTGTGTTTACATTCTGTGAAGTCATTTTAAGCTATTTCGGCGAAGGCCTTACTCCGACTCTGGTAAGTGAAAAACTAACCGCATGCTACTATAAGGTACTTATAACAGCTAACCTCACAAAATGATTGTACGGTAGTATATATTTATTATAATTGACGTTTTCTTTTTACACTAATAAAATAATAATTACGTATAGATAACTTACGTAGTAGTATCTAGTAGATAAACACTTTAATTTTAAAAAACTATTTAATAAAACCACTTGTTTTTATTAAAAACTAGGAGTACGATATCAGTACAACTTAACCATACCTTGCCAGGGCCGGTCTCAATATTACTCTTTACAAACATTTCTTTTAAGCTTCTCAGCGGTTTTACAGTCATACCAGTGTGTAAAATTGGTTGCCTATGTTATATTCAAAGTGTCTAACCAGTTTAGAACCGATTTGATTGAATCACATTGACTGGAAAACATAATTAGTCAAGCACACATTTGAAGCCAACGTTCGGTGTTGACAGAGCGACATATTTTAATTGTTTTCTTGTTTATTCAATTATTATTAATTACAAAAATTACGAGTAAGTGATATTATTTGCAGTATTGTTATTTTCATGAATACATTTCAATTTTTTTTTGTAGATCACTGTCTTTTATGTGGTATTCAGGCACTTCCTATATGAATTCTGCCAATATGCAAAATCAAAAGTGGAGCTTCAGGCATTTGAATAATACGTCACAAAACGAGGTTCCCAAAAAGCGTCTTGGGAGTGAATTGGATGTTGATGAATTTCGGCGACCAAGTAATGAGGATATTTTTGATATTGAAAATATGGACAACGTGATTGAAGACCAAATTAACAAACAAGATGAAAAAACCAATACACCAAATATTCAAGAATCAAAATCGGATAGTGCAAACGATGTACCGCTGGCAGTACGACTAGCAAAGCGAGATATATCTACTCTATATTTTGGACCCAAAATGAAAGTTATATGATACAATCAAACAATTTATTGAAACTATAGGCCCAAACATTCCAAATTCTGCAGAGAACCCCACAGATGTGTTTTTGGAACAATTTCCTGAGGATCTAATTCACCTAATAGTATTTCAAACCAATCTATATTACGTTTAAAAACATGGAGGAGGAAATGGATTTACACCTGCCATAGAAGGCGAAGTCAAAACATTTCTTGGACTAATTTTATTGATGGGTATAAAGAAAATGACCAGTTACAGAGATTATTGGTCATCGAGAGACTTTAATAGTATATTACATAACGAGAGTTGTAAGAAGCTTATTACATGCGAGTAAAAAAGTTGCGCGCGAGCCGCGTAGCGGCGAGCGCAGTAATTTTACAAGCATGTAATAATCTTACAACTCAAGTTGTGTACTATACTTTTTCTACCATTATTTTCGTTTATAAAAATAAAAATTAAATTACCACTATATTTACACTGACAGTTTAATAATTTTTAATCTGTCAAAATAACGTTACCATGGAAACGTTAATTCGTTTCCATGGTAACTCGACCAACTGACTTACGAGGCTTATGTGATATTACACATTTTTATAAAACTGAAGCGTAATTTTTTTTATTACGTGCTAGTCATTACGTGTCAGTATCTGTTATGATGCATTTACTTAGCCTCTAAATAGTAGGTAATATACAATTTACGAGTAAGAGGGTAGAAAAATATAAATAAACACCACCGAGTGTCCTTTGACAACAATTTCAACTGTATTGATCTTCAGAGATCTTTATTGTCGGACGAAATTTACGCAATTGAAACCGTTTAAAAAAAAGTAAGGATTTACCAGAGTTTAAAACTGACAAACAAGTGAATTGAGGAGATTCAGATTTCTGTATTTCAACAGATGGACTTTCTGAATTGAAGTGGCTAGATAGTAGTCGGTCCAGCAACAAACGAAGTTGTAAAGACAAGACAAAAAGACGCTACTCTGAATGAGGTTTTATGTCCACAAATGGTAGTGCTCTACAACTCACATATGGGATATGTTGACAAATTTGACATGCTGAAATGTCTTTATGAGGTGAATCGTAAATAATACAAGTGGTGGCATAGAATAGTTTTTCATTTTGTGGATGCGTAAACGCCTTCATTTTATTTCAACTTAGCCAATCCAAAAATATGTCTTTCAAAGAAATCCGGATCTCTCTGATTAGAGGCCTTATTTGAGCTTCAAAATAATTAAAAAGGGGAAGACCATCAGCAGAAAAACCAGTGAGTAAATTCAAAAGGCACATTTCCTTGGAACGGCGCAATTTAAAGTCTTTTCATATGCTCCAAAGAAGTACTTTGAGATATTTGAACTGCAGCACGATAGCAAATGTTAGCAGAACACAGTGGAAATATTCATCTGGCAATGTCGGACTTTGTCTCAAACACAACAAAAATTGTTTTGCAACATTCCATGCAAAACAATAGGAGAAATAGAAAGAAAGAAGTGCTACCTGGTTTTTATTTCTTATTTAATTTTTTATTACGCTGATATCTTAAAAATACCACATCCTGCAGGATATACTTCAGGATCAGCATTGTTTATTTTGACTTAATTTGTTTTGTAATCTGAAAATCATGTATTAACCTTCAAAATGTCTAATAGTTTTCAAGAAAGGAGCAGATAGAAAGTAAATCTAATAGGAGTAAGCGAACCACGGTGGTCTCACTTAGGATGATTCCCGATACATATCGGGAAGCACTTACAATCAGCATAGAATGCATAAAGATCAAATAAAGATCAAAGGTATATTCAGAAACTCAAGATGGATATAAAGGAAACGCATCTTGGATTCCCTAAAGACGTCGGTACACGAGAAGCTGTCTTTTCATTCAATGCATTAAACCAGAGATACTAAGACTTTAAACAAGATATGTAGTTCTGTTTCATAGATTATAATTTCGTCACAAATAATAAAAGGCATTTGATAAAGTCCATCACAAGCAATTTATGAAAGTCGTAAAAGCTAAGCAAATAGAATACAATGACCTTTAGATTATAAAAAAATTATATTATTCAAAACACATCAGAAGAAATCGAAATTAAGAGGGGTGAGACAAGGCTGCTTGTGTTTATCACTTCTCTTTATTGTTTATTTTGAAGAATTTAAAAAAAAAGTAATGAGAATTGCGAATGATACAAAGTTTAACAAATTGAGAAAGGTGCTTTGTACAAGAAATTCAAAGCCGAATTTAAGGGTTAGGTTGGCAAGATTCTATATTTTCTCGACACTACTCTATGAAATGAAGGCGTGGACACTAAACACGACGACAATTAAGAATCAGAAAGCATTTGAATTGTAAGTATACAAAAGAATCCTGTAAATGTCATGGATTGATCATGTAACAAGAAATAAAGTCAAACGAAGAACATACAAGAGTACGGAAATAATAGAAATCTTCAAAGTCTGAATGCGGCAGTACCTGGGATATGTTATGCGTGGTAAAAGATAATACAAGCTCTAAGTCATGCAAGGAAAATCCAGGAATGGGAATTATAGAAGGGACAAGAATCTCATGGCTGCGCAACCTGCATGATAAGTAGTACAGCTCATCTATCGAACTTTTTAGGGCAGCCGCATCTAAGACGAGAATAGCGATGATGGTTGCCAACCTCCTTAATGGAAATGGCACGTACAAAACATACTAAAATTGGCCAAAAGTGACTAATTCTTAACTCCTACTCCTAATACATCATATAGTTTATAAATTTTCCTATTTTTTATATTATTTCCATATAACAGATGTTTGGTGGTTAAAATAACTTTATCAGATGTATCAGTTTTTTCAGAAAATTTCTAAGCCCAAAGTCAGTATTAATATGTACTTACCAGCAAACAATAATATAGGTGGTACTGGCTCACAAGATCCTGGAACGGGACTACTTAAATCACATTGGTGTCCAATATTCGATTTTAAATTCATATAACTATAAGCACCACAGAAGTAAGGATCTGATGACCATTTGGATCTCAATATCGTAGAGGGATAAGGCAAAGAAGGATCGCCAGTAAACTGGCGTAACAGTTTCGTTATACCTTCTGCTACTTCTTCGTCAGTTGCGTGTTCCATAACAACAGCCTCTGGACCACTAACGTATGCACAGAGTACATGTTTACTGCCTTCTACCTCTTCGATTGAACTGATACCTTTAGTCCAATCTGTTCTATCTGCTAATTCTTTTTGTGACCAAGCTAATTTGATCGATCCGTTTGACCATATCCAAAATGGTCTCTCGTAGTCCAAGAAAATTTTATCTACACTACCATATCCTAAAAAGTAAATACTTACATAGTTTTTAATGTAACGTTAAAAGTACAGATATTTGATAAGGCAACTGTCTCTCAAAACGTTCTTTTAAAAAACTACGTTTTATTTGTATCTTTTATCTTGAATATATGTTTTTTATAAAAGGTTTTGAGAAGCTTAAAATATAAAAAGAGGTAGAGGATAAAATATCTACCCTAAACAAAACAACCGACATTACGCATTATGGTAGAAAATATTACCTACGTAAAAATTAACGTTTTACGTGAAATGTGACATTTACGGTAGACATGACAGATTATCTACATAAAGGCTGATTTATAAAGGCTTATTTCAGTAACGTTAAGGCCGTTCCTTGCGTTTGTGGGCATACCTAAGTTCCAATGTAAAAGCAAGTAAAAGTTTATATCAAATAACGCAAAAACTATGGCAGATATTAAGATGATTCTTTTTTTATATGAAAGGTCTTAAAAAGTTCTAGTGCACTATTTAGTTGTAAATTAATAAATTGTTTAAACAATATTTTTTTTTCAAATATTTTTGGTTAAAATAAACGTAAAAAATTTTTTTTTGAAATAGGGCACTACAGAATTTGACCCACTTTCCGAATCTGTTTTTATTTTTAACATAAAGTGTAACACAAAGCAGCTATTTGGTATAAACTTTTTTTAAAATCTCAAATTTTGCTAAATGTAACTTTCTCTCTCGGCCAGTACAGGCTGTCCTTGTCGTTAGTTTCTGGATTCTCGTCGACACGGTTAGGTTGGTTAGGTAAGAAGTATAATACTCTCTAGAAGGTGGGTCATAAATAATGTTGAATAACATTATTAGGGTTTATTTCGACTTTTGACAAACCAGTGTGTTAATTGTTTTTAAAATGGGTAGTTCACGAAGAAGTTTATGTTCCGATTGAGGAAATTTTATATAAATAAGCAGTACCTATAATAAGTACCTATGATTTGATTAAATTTTTATATGAATAGAAATATTTTCTGTTAATTTGTAACATTTTCCTTCTAAATGTTTATACTGTTTTTATAATAATACTATTGTTTCAGTATTTGCTTATATAATAATAATTTATTATGTAGAAACAGCGTAGAATTTTGGTCAATCAGCCAGTACATTTTTTTGTATTTCAATCAGAATTATTATTTTCTTTTCTTCTTTACATAAAAGCTTAGAGTAATACTCAAATATTTTGCAGTATTTGAATACGGAATTTGATTATTTATATTTATTGGACAATACCCAAATATTTTGCTGTATTTGAATATGGAATTTGATTATTTATATTTATAGGAATATTTATTTTCAACGTTTTTGTTAGTAAAGTTTACATAATATATGAAGTTTGTTTCTTCACTTGCTTGTCCAGCCATATTAGTCCAGGCTAATAAGGATTTTCGTCGTGTTTCACAACCGTATAAATAAAGCATGCTTTTTACCACAGTTTCATGGGTTGTAGTGCTAGGTTGTAGAGCATGTCAGCTGTGCCAAAACGAAAAATAATCCTCCTCATTGCTTCCACTGGAATAAGCTTGACCATTTAACTCGGCCCGGGCTACCTCTTTCTAATTCTTTAAACTCCTGTTTTGAAATTAATAATTATTTTGTCTAATTACCTATTTAGTTGTCAAAACAGATACATTGTTAACTAAAGAAGTGAAAGTGGTTCAATTTAGAAATTATATAGTAAATAATAAATATTTGAAAACTGATACACATATTCCTCCCGCGATTTATGCTTCAAGTACTAATTTTATAAATCGCACTTCTATTAATAGACGTAAATTCTTTCATTTTAATTTCATGAATGTTTTTATTCAACATTATTTCAAAACCGCACTGAATAGAAGGCCGCCCACTTGTTTATTGTATAGACCCAAGACTTTACACAATAGGGGGTTGTATAAGGTAGGTATAAAGCTTACCTCTAGTACAAGATGACGTTTAGAATATTCTTCGTGAATGGATTTTGTTTTTGTAAAGAAAGATATTTTTGAAATAGACATCTCTCTGAATTTTACCGTTACAATATTCGAGGATAAGCCTTAAACGTTACACGTGATTCTGCTCATGCGCATTAACAGAAAAATAACGGACAACTTTATTAGCGGATAAAGTATTCCCTTATTTAGGTAAAAATAAGTTTAACTTTATTAAGGGATTACGTGTTTGTAATGTTGTCAAATGCCAGATAACAAAATCATAAAAAAACTCATATGGGTTTATATATATAAATATATATATATATATATATATATATATATATATATATATATATATATATATATATAGAATAAAAAATTTAATAATGATGTTTAAAATTCTAATGAAAATTCGTTTTTGTTAAATCGAAAATTTAGTTTAGCATATTTCTCTTCAATTGTTTCCAACACAAAATATGGTCTTGGTGTTAAATCTTGTGTGGTGTGGTCTTAAAAGAATTAAGCCTTTTTTCAAATTTTGATCTATTACTTCTCCGTGTCTTCGTCGTCTTAATCTATTTTCAATATTTTCTTCCATTATAGCAAATAATTCAAATAAAATAGTTTATAGAGTATACTATCCCTTAAAACGTTATTCCTTATTTATTATTCAAGGCGCATGACAAGTATAACGTTTTACGTTTAACATCCATAAAAAAGTAAAGGGCCTAAAAACTCTCTATTGTCAAGATTCGCGTTCGGTTCCGTTCAAGATGAACCAACTTTATCTTTTGCCGTTGGCCGTTATAGCACAGAATACACCAACCCTTCTGTGGTTGTAGTAACGATCATAGAACATAAAAAACTGTATCTTTGTCATCGCAGCCAGTAGCAATACCGAAAAAGTGTTAAACAAATCAAACTAAATTATTTCTTTATGTTTTGTGTTTTCACGTGCTTATAAAGTAGAAGAGTTTAGATAATAACAGGCCTCTCTTTAACAGAAATTCCATCAGAGCGATAATTTAAATTTATTTTTGGTTTTACTATTTTCAGTAGTTTTTCAAATACTGAAATCTGCATCATGGTATATTTAAAAAACTGCTGGGTATCCCAGTTTTTTTTATTTTTATAATAATTAAAATTACGTCTTGTCTTTCTGTTCTGGTTAATGGGTCTCCATTTGTATCGACGTTGTCTTTTATTTGGAAGTCTCAGTGCTGCTCGAATAAAAACTGCACCTAACAAAAGCCGAGCATTTTCATTTTCCATTGTATTAATTTTCAAGCAAAAATTAATAATACCAAATCAAAAATGTAAGGTTAGAAATTAAGATGTGATCTTTAACGCCAATGCCAACCGAAAGTTTTTAAATGCAGTCTATGATAGCTAGCGCCAAGGTCAACGGCAGATGCTAGCGCCAATGCCAACTCAAAGTTTATAAATCAGCCTTAATACGTAACCTTTAGGAGAGACGAGATATTTGACGTGATATTTTGACGTAATACATCACGTTTTTGACATAATACGTGAAGTTTTGATATAATAGGTGACGTTTTATGTGACATTTGACGTAAGATGTAACATAAAACGTGACATTTGACATGAGACGAGTCGTTAAAGTTACAAACTATTTTTTACCGACACTTCATACGTTGTGCTCTGTAGAATTCTTCAGATGTGACAGTGAAAATATAAAAAAAAAATGATTAGAATGCACCTTAGCATTTTCTTATGGGTTTGAACATGGGAATTCAAGAAAATGATTGAAAAAGCAGTTTATGAGATGATGGGCAAGAAAAAACTAAAAAAAAGAAAATGATTGCATTGGAATGGAGTGTATGTGTGTATGCGTGGAGAGAAATATGATAAATATTAAGCTTGTAGTTATTATTATATAATAATAATAACTACAAGCTATACTGGGATCGCACTGTGCTCACAGACCAAACTGTAGCACATAATAGACCAGCTCTCGTGCCAGTTAATAAACTAACAAGACAAACAACTCTAATCGATGTGGCGATACCTAACAACAATAATCTGTGTGTTAAGTACAACGAAAAGATCGCCAAGTACAGAGATCTGGAAATACAAATAAGGAGACAATGGAGAATGGAAAGTACCCAGATGGTATCTATTATTCTTTCTACCACTGAAGTCATTCCGAAGAACCTCCTAGAAAATATAAAAAAGCTGGGTGTAAATGAACATCTATATAAGATCATGCAGAAAGCTGTGCTACTTTCGACGTCCAGATGCGTGCGAAAATTTTTGGGAGATACACCGACGTACCAAGTTACCTAGGACTCGATAACATGGAAAGAGTCCCACCAGAGCTCAATCCTTGTGATACCGTAGGTATCTGGGATGAATAAATTTTCTCCTTTAAGGGAGTGTGAAAAATGAAGTAATTGAAAATTATAGGGTATGTCACACATATTATCTAAATAAGACAAAGAAAACACACACTGGAGGTCGACAATCAGAGTCTGTTATGGATGTGAGACATGGGTGATGATAAAAAATACAAAAATAAAGCTGGAAGTCTTTAAACGAAAAGTTTTAAGAAAGATATTGGGACCTATTAACCAAGACGTGAGCATGGAGATCCAGATACAACCATAAACTCTACCAACTGTTTAAAGAGGCACTGATCTCAAAATTCTAAGGTTCTCTACTCTTCTAATTCTCAAACTTCGACGGATTAGTCATGTAGTGAGAATAGAGACCCAAATATTGGCGAAAAGAGTCATAAATAGTAAAATTAAGCGTGCAAGACCAAGAGGAAGGCCATGGAAAAGTTGGGCGCAAAATTTTCTGTAGGTGTGGACTTTGAGAAGATCGGCGCGGGACTAGCAAGGTTGAAAAACTAGTTTGGGAGAGGCCAGAGTTCGATTTGGGCTGTAGTGCCATTGAATAGAGAGATATAGAAAGATGTTGTTAAGAGAGCTTTTTCATCTGCGTAAAGCAGTGTCACTGTATTGGTATGTTTAAGATTATTTGAACTGCTCTTGTACATTGTGCAGGGTGTTGGTGCAAATATCGAACTCTGAAGTAGTCCTGCCACCTTAAGCTTGATATTCCTATCTAAGATATGTGAGTTAATCGTTTTCAAAAATTTAAGTATTTCTTTTAAGTGTTAGCATGACAGACTCGATCAAAGGCTTTCTAAACAACAAGAAAGATAAAAAGAGGGTCATCAAAACATAGACAACCCTAAGCTCTTTATCTAAAGAACCTTAAGTTAATTTATTTTGACGTATTGCTTACCTAAACATTTTATTGCCTCCAATTTGCAGGTAGGCAACGCGGGACAAAACAGCTTGTCTCCATGTTCTTTTAAAACTCCCAACGATACTGTAATTATGACATAGTCTGCACAGAACTCTTCGCTATCACAACACTGTACTATAGCTCTGGACGCCTGACCCCTTCCTTGAACTGCACCCCACCGAATAAGACCGACAGGTTTGTTAAATTCTATACTGCATTTGGGAAGGTCTCGTAAAAGAGGGGATAACACGCTAACAAATCCTAAAAAAAATTATTTATAGTATTTGACAACAATGTTCTTATACTTTTACCATCAGGCACTGTGGCATTACCGCCAGGTATTTTAATGAGACTTCCCACATTATCCGCACTTACATTGTCCAAATCGTCTCCTATTTTGTACCTCAAACCATTTGTTAAGCCGTAAAGTATTCGTGAAATATCGTACCGTTGATCTTCTGGGAATTTTTGTATTTCTTGTTGAATTCTCAAATCTAAATAAAACAGTTATCTTTTCAAAAATACCAAACAGAATACTAAATAAAATACTGAAGAAATAGAAAAAGTGTAGAAATGGAAAAATTGTGATTTCTTTTATTGTTATTTTGTAAATGGATATAATGTACTAAAGTAGATAAATGAATGTTTAACTCTTTTTTAAAATGTGTTCCTTAGAAAATATATAAATATGAAGTATATTCATTTCCCCGAAACGAAAAATTTTTAAATAAAAAAATTTATTTAAAAAATCATCTATAAAAAGGTCCCTATTTATAAAAAAATAATTCAGACTAAATCACTCTGGGCAGCATCGCTAAATCTGATCACTGCTGCGCGTAGCGCCAGCATCTCTAAGTGGGAGTTTTGCGTTGCCATGAAGTAAATCTGTTTGAAACTTTAACATTATATAATTTTATTAGCAACGATGTAATATATAATAAATGTAATAACATTTAAAGGGTTTTACCCACATATTTAGAGGTTTCATCCATGTATACCTGGTAACAGCACTGATAATGGACTTGTAAGTCCGAAACGTTCTGTGATGTAGCGCGAAATGCTATTTTTAAATAAATATACCTTTAAAAAAAGGATTTTTAAATTAAACTTTTGTGATTTACGACTACGATATATCGATCTTTCTTGTGAATTCTTAAATACTTGGAGTGGAGTTAGTTAAGAAAGGTTTGTTATTAATTTCATGTTAAAAATACGTAAATAACAACTGATAACGGGACAAAACTTATATCTCATAGGTTATTAGTAAAAAATGCTTACAAACAAACTTTTTCAACGAACCATGATCTTGTCTACATCCCATATTGAATAATGTAAATGCTTCCTTTTCTATACACTTAAATATATGAAATGCCATCGTCGAAACTGGGTAATCTATTGCTCGTCCATCGCTGGTGCAATACAAACCCTTTAACGGATTATCTGTATTTAAAGGTGGTTTCAGAAGACCTTCTTGAGCTGCTAAGTTAAAAACAGGATTTGCCACGCACGCGCCTTTGATGTAGTGGCAACCCATTTCTGTTACAATGTTTGACAGCATGCAGGAATGTATTCTCCCACCAGGCCTTAAAAAAAGAAATGAAATAAAATGATTATACATATAAATCAAATAACACAGTAAATTCTCAGAGATTTCTTAGATCTGATTCTTCTTCTTAAGGTTGGCTCTATTACTGAAGGTTGGCTCTAACTACAGCTAATTGCTCTATATCTTGAGCTGTTCTTAGTAGCGAATGTGTGTCAATGCCTGTCCAGTCTCTTACATTATTCAGCCAGAAGCATTTTCTGCTTCCTGGACGTCTTCTTCCTTCCACTCTCGTTTCCATTATCTGTCGTAGTAAGTTGTTTTTCCCCTCTGTAAATACGTCCTAGATAACTCGTTTTTCTGGTTTTTACAATATTTAGGCGTTCTCTCTCAGTCCCCATTCTTCTCAGCACCTCATTGTTGGTCGCGAGCTCTGTCCAAGAGATCTTCAGCATCCTTCGAAAAACTCACTTCTCAAAGGCTTCTATAAGTCCCATACTTGTGATTCCAAGAGTCCGTTTCCACTCCGTATAGCATATCTGATTAATAAGCAGATCTGATTAACAATCAATAACTAGAGAATGTATCTCATAAAATGTACATAAATGACTTATTCTCTTAATTCTCCTCAGAATACTTATCTCTAACATAAGCAGCTTTTGTGTGAGATTTAAACTGAGCGATAAAAATTTTCATGTAGAGCGTTGAGTAGGCTGACTCCTTTTTTAACTTTGTTATCGGTTGCTATCAAGTCTTCTCTCCAGTGTAGTATTCTGGTTAACACCACTCCTCGATACTCGATATGATTACTAAAGTCAATCTCCCCATAATCTTATTTCAATTCTTTCTTCTGTAAGCTATGTGTAGTAACCGCTAGTAATTGATTTTTTCTATTCTATTAGGTCTTTAATTTTACGTTTGTATTAGGATTTCAGTGCCTTTTAATTGTAGACTTGAAGAAGCTATATTTTTTCGTAAAGCTGCTTTCAATTTATAAATTTCTTGCATCCTAAGTCTTCCTCTGTCACTCTTTCATATCTTGTGATTAGACTTTTAATGACTGTATATGATTTTGTAGGACGGTAAGGTGAGATTTTCGGTATATCGTGTATCCTACATTTTCGTATTCTTTTTCTACCAAGACATCCAAAAATGGTACTTGTCAGTTCTTCTTTCATTCCATTGCAAACTTAATTTTGGGGTGAATATTATTGGTGTGTTCTAAGAATATAGTTTTTTCCCCATACATCTAGATAATCAAGCTGTCTTCAATGTATCTAAGCTATACTTTGGGTTTGTGCTATGCTATTCCCGTTGCCTATGTTTCTACATAAAAAGGTTTAAGGTTTGCTATTACCTATTATAGTAATAAGCTACCTATAATAGTGATTTTATTAAAATCTTTGGTCCTTGTAGATACAATAGGTGTTGTTCAAATGGTACCTCGTTAGATTTAGTGTATCCTGTGGCTTTAGATATTTTTTGCGTATAATTTTTAATAATTCTTCTGTCGGAATATTAGTTAACAGTGTGACTACATTGATACTGGCATCAAGTGGCAAGAATAAAGGTTGAACAAGAACTGTCGGATGAAATAAATATAAAAAGAGGAGTGAGACAAGGCTGTATATTGTCGCCTTTACTTTTTAACTTATATTCGGAGGAAATATTTAAGGAAGCCTTAATGGAGACAACCGAAGGTATTATTGTGAATGGAGTAACCGTCAACAATATTAGATATGCCGACGATACCTTAGTCCTTGCCAATTGCGGAGAAGACCTTCAAAATCTAATGAACAAAATAAAACAGACTTGTGATCAGTATGGACTAAAACTCAACGTTAAGAAAACTAAATACATGATAGTTAGCAAACAAAATTATATACATGATGACGGTATAAAAGTCGGAGATGCCACAATGGACAGAGTAGAGAAACTCGTGTATCTCGGCAGTAATATCAATGAGAGCTGGGATCCAACCGCAGAAATTAAAAGCCGAATAGAACAAGCCCGAGCTGCCTTTGTAAAAATGAGAAACGTACTTTTCAGTCATGATCTTAGCATTGACCTTAGAGTTCGTATGATATCTTGCTACATCTTTCCTGTCCTGCTGTATGGAGTAGAAGCATGGACCCTAACTGAGGCTATGCTTAAACGCTTGACAGCCTTTGAGATGTGGGTATACAGACGACTACTGAAAATAAGCTGGGTCGACAGAGTTAGAAATGAGGAGGTCCTTAGACGGCTGAACCAAACAACACAACTGGTCAATATAATAAAGAAACGCAAGCTGGAATACTTCGGTCATATTATGAGACACCCTGAAAAATATGATCTTTTACATCTGATCATTCAGGGAAAGATCCAAGGTAATCGTGGTCCTGGTAGAAGAAGAACATCATGGCTGAAAAATCTAAGGCAATGGTATGGAATATCAACTACATCGTTATTTAGAGCTGCTGTCAATAAAGTCACGATAGCGAATATGGTAGCCAACATGATATCCAATGATCGATAACGGTCATGGAACTAGAAGAAGAAGAACAACTGTCCAAGTTCGAAACTGGCGTCCTTTATATGCTTGATATATGCTTGATAAAACGGTTTGCACTCTTAACGTGTGAATCCATTTCCTCTTCGTGTAATTGTAGGTCATCATCATCACGTAGCGCTACAACCCTGGGTGGGTCTTGGCTGACTGTACAACTTTTTTCCAATTTGTTCGGTCTTCCATCAACCTAGGGTCAAACGGAATGTTCATTTTCCAGAGATCTGCTTGGATGTTATCTCTCCATCGGATTCTGGGACGTCCGAGTGGTCTTTTGCCTGTGGGAATCTCCTCCCATACCAGTCTTACAAGTCTTTCGTTATGCAGTCTGTTGTAATTGTAGGTGGTCAGCCAAAAAAGAGCCAGCGGTTGGTCGTAATCAACTAACTATTGGTCGTAATTGTAACACTCCCTTTATATCTTGGATACGTTGTAAAATTTTGGGTATATTGGATATTTTTTTGGTAGAATAAGATAAGGTTTATTGTTCCTCGATTTTGTTTTTTCTTCAGAGATATAGTAGGGTATGTATATATGTACTGGTCCACAGATTTACCACAGTGGTCCTGTGGTACCCAGACCTGGAAAGACTCATAAGTAAAATAGTAATGTGTAGTAGGGAGTACAGACACTCGCTCAATATCAAAAATGAAGTTTATGAAAATTTGCAAAAACAACCATAATACTAACGAAATCTTGATAGTAGAAGGCCAGCAAATCGAAACAGTAAAAAAGTACACTTACCTAGGAACACTTATTATAGAAAATAATGACTTTACTGCAAAAATCAAAGTCAGAATCGAAAAAGCACGTTCTAATTTTATGAAAATGAGAAAGGTGCCATGTGGCAAAGATTTAAAGCAAATTTAGCTCTTAAAGTATGCCTAACAAAATGTTACGTATACAGTGTACTATACTATGAAGTGGAATCATGGACGTTAAATCTAGACACAATGAGACGAATTAACGCCTATGAAATGTGGACCTATAGAAGAATTATGAGGGTTTCCTGGGTAGATAGAGTTACGAACAATGAAGTACTGAGAAGAATAAGTAAAGAGAAGGTAGTTGAACTTACAGTTAAAAAAAGAAAGCTACAGTATCTCGGTAATCTGATGCAGGGCGAGAAGTATGGCATTCTGCTACTCATAATGCAATAAAAGATAGATGGCAAAGAAGCATCGGAAGAAGACGAATTTTATGGTTTAAGAACCTGAGAGAATGGTTTGGATGCAGCTCAAAACAACTATTTAGAGCTACTGCCTCAAAAATTAAAATACCTATGATGATTGCCAACCTCCGTAGCGAAGATGACACCTGAAGAAGAAGAAGTAACGTAAAGTGTATAAATGTATGGGCACAAAATAGAAAAAAAAAATGGAATAACCACATAAGCAGAATGGAGGATACTCCTGTCGTCCAAATAGCAAGAGATAAGTTACCAATCGGCAAAAGAAGTATTGCACGACAGCGTAAAAGATAGAGTGACAGCGTTCCATAGAGGTATTAATCCGCCAATGAACAAGCAGAATTTCTTATAAAGAGGAAGAAGAAGAAGAAATTGAAAGTTATAAAGTGACCTGCGTTATGTTACGATATAAACCTAATCGAGAACTTAAATATATTTGAGCGATGTAATCATTTACCTTTAACCATATACCTTCAGCAACTCATGTTTTTTTTTTAATAAAAAAATGTACTACTGAAGGATATCCAAAGACTTATTATAAGTAAGACGAAACGATGTGAACAACATTAAATATTAAAGGTAGGCACAAACATTTTTAAGGTACAAATAAACACATTGGTCTACAGGGCAATTTGATAGACTGTTTTATACATTTATATATTTTTTCACTTTGGTTCAGGTGATAAATGAAGATATTTAAATACCAGAGAAAATATTTTTATGATTTACTAATCATAATTTCTTGAATGTATTTGCATTTTATCTTTCCAAAAAGGTATACCTTCCCATAGTTTTGCTAATTTTACGAATCACTCCATTGAGAAAAAGTGTTGGTTCTCGAACGTCTGGTCTTTTTGTATGGTTCCTTTATGGCACCAAAGCCGTCACTGTATAAGCGGGATTTTAGGTTTATGTATAAAAATAGAAAGTACTAGCTATTATTTACCTTTCAGTTGCTTCTAGTATTTTAAAGTTACTTATACCACATTGTAAAAGCCGTTGAGCGGCAGAGAGTCCAGCGATACCAGCGCCAATTATGATAACAGATGGTTCAGGTTTACAAGGATCCACCATGCATTCCGATATGGTACAAACACGTACCTCTGGTGGTGGTTTTTTGCATTCTTCTGCTTTACTATATCTTCGTTTACACACAATTCTGAGTGTTTTCCTACAAACAAAAACCTTTAAATTCCTGTTGAAGATGGTTAGAAATTATCGCTCACCTGTTGTGCCTTAATACAAATCGGGACAGTATCGGTAAAACGGTTAATGGGTGCATATTTTAACAGAAATTTAGTTCTTGGTAAAGTTTGACGATTAATGTGACGTTTGATTAGGCACATAATCAGTTTCAACTAATTATGTAGTGGTAGTTGCTGTCATTGATAAAAGTATGTATACACTTCTGCCATTTATATTGAAAATGTCATATTTTTCTGTAATGACGTAAACAGTATTTCCGCATTCGGTTTCAATACAAACTTGGTGATCCAGATACCAGTATTCAAATGTTTTACTATTATTTAATTGTTACTAAAATTTTTTAGTTTATTCTTCTAGGCTATCACAAAAAAACAAAGACAAAGACATTGTCAAAACGGCGCTATATCGGATCTTTGTTGCTATTGATCGAATTTTAGCATAATAGACGTTGAAGGAATAGATAGTAGTCACTGAGGCTAACAGAGAAACAAACATGACAACATTGAGAAAACGGCGCTATATCATATCTTTGTTGCTATTGGACCTATTTTGAAGGGGATTCTACGTCTATTACAGTTCGTCATCTTGTCACGCCACCAGTCGGCTACATCCTTTAACTATGCCCAAACCATCTAGCACCTATTATCGTCGTAAAAGACACTTCTTTAGCATATTGCTTCTTCTCTCTCTCTCTCTCTCTATCAACAATGTACGAAAGGGCGAGGTGACGCTAAAAACCATATAACGTACAACAACGTGTGAGTTATTATTAGAAATAGAACTTGATTAATTGAAGAACTTCAATTAATCAAGTCCATCCAAGTCAAGAACCATTCTTACAGTATGACCAAACCAACAAACATCATTTATATAATCTTCTCTGACTGATCACTACTACACATGGATCTCCCTCCAAACAAACACCTGCTCTTTACACAGACGTCTGGCTACATGATAAAACTAAACACAGACGGCGTATGATGACGGAGAATGTAGAAGTATGAGTTAAAGTGAAGTAGAAGGAACAAGGAGACGCTTTTTATGTGTATATTTAAATACCATTTTTTTAACAATCGATAATTATACTTTTTTACTATTTTTTCTATTAAAAATTATATTGAAAACATAACATATAAACTAAAATCTTGTACTTTAATTAAGATATTTTATATACTAAGTGTTACAATCTTATAGATATATTTAAGATAACAAAATCTAAAAGAATTTTTTTATACAATTTATAAAAATAATCCTAAATTAAGTTTGTCATTAAAATCTGTCGGAAAGGTTGTTGCCGCAACTTTTGTTAAAATTGCTGCGTTGATATCTTTCTTTTTCTTAATATTTTTTCTAGAGGTTTTGTTGAACATAGTTTCTACAATTGCTGTGATTTCTTTCCAAGCAAAATCTATATCTTCCTTTTCAGTTAGTCGACTACAAACGACAAACCGGACCATTAGTTTGTTCTGATAATAATAAGGCATTATATACAAATTTTTCCGTTCTGTAATTTTATCCAATAACTTTTGAGTTGCAGTATCGTCACCATTAAGTCTGAATCCCACAACTCCTAAGCTTGAAATTAACAATTCGAATCGTTTGTCTGCGGTTACCAGGTCTTCTAGATATTTGGCTAGAGACACCTGGTGTCTAATATGTTTCTGAATACCTTGCACCCCGTATATTCTCATCACAAACCACAGTTTTAAAGCTCTGAATCGTCTAGAAGAGGGAATTTGCCAATGTTCAAGTTCCGGTTCAAATGCTGGATTTGATGGAATAGCTGCTTTCAATTTAAATGCTGCCTCTGCATCTTTGGTGTTTTTAAACCACATCGCTGAGCAATCTGAGTTGGTGAGGAACCATTTATGAGGATTGAAGTTAAAAGAATCCACATGATCAATGCCTGAAAATAAAAATATACTTAATTTTTTAATATGAATTCTTGTAGACACTTACCTTTTAAAAGATACCGATATTCTGGACAAACCAAAGCTGCTCCGGCATATGCAGCATCAACATGTAACCAAATATTCTCATTCTGACATATTTGTCCAATTTCCTCCAAGTCATCAAACGCACAGGTTCCAGTCGTACCTAAACTAGCAACAACACAACACGGAATGAGGCCTTCTGCCTTATCTTTCTGGATAGCTTCTTGTAAGGTATTCCCGCGTAAGCGGCAATCTGAGTCTGTAGGTAGAAGTCTCATTGGCACTGATGCTAGTAAACTTGCTTTTTCCACGGAAGAGTTAGATTCTTTTGAGGTATAAGCTATTAATTTTCCTTTTACGTCTTCTGGGGTTAGGTTAGGGTTTTTATCGAGGACATGTTTGACCGTTCTCTGCTTTCCAGATAACAGACCTACCAATGTTGATTCGCTCGCTGCATTCTAAAATATATGTACTTTTATAATTTTTAATCAAGCTAGTAGTTGTAGAAAGATTCAATTATATTAAATTTTAATAGTAAAAGAAAATATCTATAAAAACAATGAATAAACTGTTTAGGAAATACATTAACATTGATAAGCATGATTCAAGACTTTAAGTATACCAATTATTGGTGTTTAAATAAACACCAATCTCAACACCAACTTAGTCCTAAATGGACGACAAGGGGAAAGTTTGTTTACGACACTTTTATTACGGTACTTTTCTCTTCTTCTAGTTCTGTGACCGTTATCGATCGTTGAATGTTGACATATTGGCTACCAAATTCGTTATCGTAACTTTATTGACAGCAGCTCTAAATAATGATGTATTAAATTTTCCATACCATTGTCTTGGATTTTTCAGCCATCTTTTACAACCAGGACCACATTTACCATGGATCTTTTCATGAATGATCAGATGTAAAAGTTCATATTTTTCAGGGTGTCTCATAATGTGGCCAAAGTATTCCAGCTTACGTCTCTCTATTATATTGACCAGTTGTGTATTTGGTTCAGCCGTTTAAGGACTTCCAACTCTAACTTCTAAGTCATCTGTATACCCACATCTTAGAGGCTTCTAAACGTTTAAGCATAGCCTCACTAAGAGTCTACTCTTTTACTCCGTACAGTAGCACTGAAAATATATAGCAATATATGATTCGAACGCAAAGGCCAATAATAAGATCGTGGCTGTAAAGTACGTTTCTCGTTTAATACAAAAAAGTTATTAAAACAGCGATAAAAGCGTAGTATCAAAATCATTTGGAAGATTTAAAAGTGTTGCAAAATAAACTTCTTCTTCTTTGAGTATCGTGCCCAAGTTTTAGGCGTGGGTGATGTAATGTAAACATAGCAAGAAAATAAAGAATAGAAAAAATAAGGGCTAAGTAGCATAGAGAGGATAATAATTATTCAAAATAATTATTATATATTCCAAATTAAATAAAGAATAAATTCAATACAGTAACGTATACATTTAAATTATACAAAGATAACAATTGACCTAGTTTGACACAAGCCCGAATGTTTAAGAATTACGAAGTCTGAAGACATTCGTGAAAATTAATACAACGAAGCGACACACCATCGCAGGTTACATTCCAACACGTGGAACAGTACATCAGAATCAGCAAAATAAACTAGGAATGTCGCGGGACATAAAAACTAAAAAAATTTGTCAACCAGGCAGTAGTATCAAGGAAGCGCTCAAGGCATTAATTGCCAGCTCCGTGGGCGCTCGGACGCGATAGCGTTCAGTACGCGATCAGTAATAGCTGGGCACCGTGACTGCCCGAGGCAGTAATTGCCAGAGGGATCAGTCAGTTTTACGCGGATCTCCACAAAAGAAATCCGATTTCCAGAGGAACTGAAGGGCGTATCATTAGCTAGACCCTAAATAGGCGAAAGTTAACAAAATTCTATATACTAACCCGAGTAAATTATAGTAGTACAGATTGTCCACCCTTTACTTTCTTGCTACGATCTCTTCTCGTCTCCCTTCGCGCCGAACGAGTTATAATTAGTTATATCTGACAGCTTGTTAACTTAATTGTAAACCACATAATATATTCAATACATTTTTAGAGTCTAAATTTGGTTTTTATGTTCCTTCTGGCCGATTCAGACAGAGACCAGAAGAGTGCCAAATTTCGACTTATACATTTATCCGGCTTCTAAAGTAAGCCCATAGACTCAAACTCTTTACAGGACCTGAGACCTAGAAGTCCTTAAATCCCTATCCCAAAACTGCTCTACCTTCTCGTAAATCCACGAAGGCGAGCCAGTCATTTTAGACTAGTGAGACCAGTAGCCTTGCAGCCACTCGCAGGGATAAGCATCCTTAAGGTTCATATCTAGGATGTTACAGTGGTGACAGCGTTGTACAGTGGTGAAGATTTTCTCGCCCCCTAGTTCCAGATTTTTACAATAGGGGATATAACCTCCCGTTAGTTGTACAGTAGCTTCCATGACGATTTGCCGATATCGTTCTCGATCTTGTGCTTGAATAATTCATCTGCTGATAAGCCAGTCTATTGACGAAGGTTTCGAAGCCATGAGTATTTCTTCCTACCAATTCCGCTTTTTCCGTCAATTTTTCCGTTCTGCATTATTCTATGTCTGCTTCCCCTCATTATATGCCCCAGATATTCGAGTTTTCTCTTTTTTATCATCTTTATCATCTACTCCAATCATTTCTAGATAGTCTAACAGTCTACCATGTTGAACCCTATCAAACGCCTTCTTAAAATCTATAAAACAGACGTAAATTGGTTTCTGTAGTTCCATGATCGTTGAAGTAGTGTTAGCATTGACAACAAAGCTTCCCTTGTCCCCAATCCTTCTGTGAAACCAAATTCTGTATTTCCCATTGTGTCTTCACATTTCTGCTTGACTATATTAAGAATTATCCTAAGAAGTAGCTTGAGAGAGTGACTCATGAGACTAATTAGTCTTAAGCCTTTACAATTTACATGATGATTTATTAGGTTTTTTTGGAAGTGGGATAAATGAAGACTCCAACCATATTTGTGGCAGTGTTCCAGTTTCGTATATGTGACTGAGACATCGTGTCATGTTGTTGTGTTACATGTGTTGAGACATGTATTCTGAGACATTGTCGTCGTCTAGAAGTTTGAGCCAGTCTGACGGTATTTGTTCAGGGCCTGGAGATTTACCATTTTTGCTTTGTTTGATGGCTTTCTCTACTTCTGCCTTTAAAATACTAGAACCAGTATTCGTATATTTTGTGGTGTTAAGTCGTGGCCTCGTATCCAGGAAGAGCTCTTTTATGTAGTTCGTCCATTCTTCGTTTTTTTCCCTTAAGTCGAGAATAGTTTTACCTTTATAGTTTCTCATAAAGTAAGGAGTTCTTTTTCTCTGAGTGTAGGTAAGTTCTTTAAGTTTTTTGTGTATATTAAACTCGTCGTGTTTTCTTTGTAGTTCTTCCATCTCACGACATCTCTGTTCCATCCATGCCTCTTTTGCTCGCTTAACCTTGTATCTTATTTGTCGATATATTTCTCTGTATCGAGACTCATCTTTATTTCTACAATATTTTCTTTGCTGAATTTGCTTTGCTTTCTTAAGGTCTAGTATGATATCCGTCATCCAATCCTTTTTCTTTACTGGCCCTTTTTCTGATTTCAATACTTCGCTTGCTATGGTAACCAACTTAGGTAAAATAAACTTAGTCCATAATAAACAGACGATATTTAGTATATATGGAGTTATTCTGAAAACAAAATGAAATTTATAAAAATTTCAAAAATTCTGATTTTTTTAAATCAATTTTTTTTTCAAAAATATGCATGCACCAGTCAAAATTTTTGAGGTTATTACTTATGCTAGAATAAAAAAAGCTTTATAGGGATTACTATAAATTTTAAGTTTTGTGGCAATGGCGTATGTTTTATTTTTCACTTTTTCGAAAAAAATTCCAAAGGGTCCTCTTACTTTCATCATAACTTGCTTGAGGTTATTCTTCTATGCAACTTCTTTTAAAGCTTATTTTATAGGTACTTTTGAGTAGTTTGAAAATTTTTTAATAAGTATATTTTATAAAAGGCATTGTTTTCCCGTTAATTAAGCTTAAATATTCAGATTTGAGTACCCGCCGAAAAAAAAAAATACATTTAATTACTGATAATTGATGGATTCGAGCGTTACTTGATGGAAATTCATTTTATGTAACAATAAAACACTGAAAACTTTGTTTTTAAACTTTCACAAAATTTATTTTAACTATTATCACTACAGCTGTTTCGGCTGATTGCCTTTCTCAAGTGATCTATTTTTGGCATGCGTTTACAATTTATAGTCTCTAATGAAATAGGTTGAGGAGGGGAGAACTGTTTATCTCAAGTTGGTCATTCAGAATTATATCTGTGTCTTTTTAATTTGTTGATTTCCATAGATTCTAACAAAGATAGCTTAAGGCCTTTATTTTGAATGTGAAGAATTTTAAATTTGTCATTAAAAGAATGATTATGATCTAGAAGGTGAAGTGCGTATGTCGAATCTGTTTTTCTATTATTGAAAGCCCTTTTATGTTCTGTTATTCGTTTATTAAAGTTTCTACCAGTTTGACCGATGTAAGTTTTTGGGCAGTCGCCACATTGAAGTTTGTACAAACCACTATTTAAGTGTTTTTGATTTTGGCTCTTGTTATTTTTAATATATTTGCCTAGGTTGTTATTTGTTCGGAAAGCTGGTGTTATTCTTTTCTTTTTTATGTGTTAGGCTATTTTTGTTGTTATTTTGCCTGTATATGTAATCGAGCAGAAGGTACTGGGTTTTTTCTCTGGTGGTGTAAATACTAATTTCAGGGCTTTCTTGTGTAGTTTTTGATTTAACATTTTATTAATTGTTTGTTCGTTGTATCCGTTGTTTACTGCTATTTGCTTAATTATATTTAATTCTGTCTCAAAGTTGTATTTTGACATCGGAATTTCTGTTAATCTATGTAACATATTATGATAACCTGCCAACTTCAGACAAACAGTTCTCCCATCCTCAACCTATTTCATTAGAGACTATAAATTTTTAGATCACTTGAGAAAGGCAATCAGCCGAAACAGCTGTAGTGATAATAGTTAAAATAAATTTTGTGGAAGTTTGAAAACAAAGTTTTCAGTGTTTTATTGTTACATTTAATTACCTATAACTTACTTTGAATTAATATTAAAAGGTTTTTAAAGCAAGGAGTTTATTTAATTTTTTATTAGCTTAAATTTTGGTAATGGCATCTTTTTTATAAAGTCTTATAGTTTTTGAGTTATTTATGAAAAACCGCTTTAAAACATGCATTTTTTCAGGAAAAATCAAATTCATTGAACTTCAATAACTCAAAAAGTATTGATTTATTTAAATAACTTTATACAATAAATTTTGTTTAGATTTTATCCCTCTATCGATTCCTGGTGTTATTTTTAATAAAATAATTTTCACCCCTGACAAGGGGTGGCATTCACCCCCAGGGTAAAAGCGTAAGTTGACACCATGTCACTTTTGTTTCTTAAGGTATCCTCTAACTACTCACCAATTTTCATGAAAATCGCTATAGGTTCAACAAAATCGGAGTGAAAAGCTTCAGTGACTGTATAATATTCCATATCTCATTGATTCAACTTAACGTAGTTTGCAATAAAATAATCAAGAGATATATAACCAAAATAGACTATCACATCACATCACACAATTAATGAATGAAACAAAATTATTCAAAACAAAAAATCCAATTAAATATAATGAAACTGATCGATTAATAAAAAAGAGAATAAAAGAAGCTAAGGAGAGAATGTTACATGAGCAGTGCCAAGAACTAGAAGAAATTGAGAAAAAATATGACTTTTTTAACATGCATAAAAGAATTAGAGAATTAACAGGAATGAGAAAAACACTTCAAACTAGGCAACTGAGAGATGAAAGGGGTGCACTTATAACAGATATAAACCAAAAAATGCAGAGATGGACACAATATATAGCACAACTATTTGAAGACAAAGAAAGAACAGAAGCACCAAAAGAATTTAAGGATGATACTGGGCCTGACATTATACGAGAAGAAATTGAATATGCAATGAAACAAGCTAAAGATGGTAAATCTCCCGGGCCTGATGAAGTTCCTATCGAATTACTTAAAATTGTGAATACTGAATCTATTGATCTTCTTTTGGATCTATTCAATACCATATATAGAACAGGTATAATACCTAAAGAATGGCTCCAATCAACATTCATACTGCTTCCCAAAAAAGCCAATGCAAAGGAGTGCAATGAACATCGCACCATAGTCTTAATGAGTCATGTCTTGAAATTGTTTTTAAAAGTAATTCACAATAGAATACATAAAAAATTAGATGAAGGCATAAGTAATACACAAATGGGATTTAGGAAAGGTCTGGGAACACGAGATGCACTGTTTGCAGTAAGTGTTCTTTCGCAGAGATGCTTAGATATTAATCAGGAAGTATATGCCTGTTTCATTGATTTTGAGAAGGCATTTGACAGAGTGCAGCATAATCGACCTAAAGAAATTTTATTAAATAAAAACATAGACAGTAGAGACATTAGAATCATCTGTAACCTCTATTGGAATCAAACAGCAAAAGTGAAAGTTGAAAACGAACTGACCAAGGATATCCAGATTCGCCGTGGGGTCCGCCAAGGGTGTATTTTATCACCCTTGTTATTCAATTTATACAGTGAAGCCATCTCAGAATTAGCGCTTGCCGAGATCAGTGAGGGCCTTATAATAAACGGTGAGCCACTTAATAACATAAGATATGCTGACGACACCGTCCTTTTGGCAGGAACACTAGAAGAACTGCAACACCTTGCTGAACAACTAAATATATATTGCAACGATTATGGACTAAAAATCAATTTGAAGAAAACCAAGTTCATGGTATTTACAAAAGCACAAAACATCAAAGTTAAGCTAGTACTAGATAATACAGAAATTGAACAAATATCTTCGTACAAATACCTTGGAGCATGGATCACAGAAGATACTGATCAGACAAAAGAAATAAGATGCCGCATTAAAATTGCGCGGTCAACTTTTAATAGAATGAGAAAACTTTTTTGTAATCGCGATATCAATATATCGCTCCGGATAAGAATGCTTCGATGTTATATTTTCTCTACTCTTTTGTATGGAGTTGAAGCTTGGACACTTAAAAAATCCAACATTAAAAACCTAGAAGCATTCGAAATGTGGTGTTACCGACGCATTTTGAAAATATCATGGATGGATCGCAAAACAAACGAACAAGTTCTCGAACAACTAGGAAAACAATGCGAAGTTTTAAATTCCATAAAGATCAGGAAATTGGAATACTTGGGGCACATCATGAGAGGTGAAAAGTACGAACTACTAAGGAATATAATGCAGGGTAAAATCAAAGGTAGAAGAAGCGTAGGAAGACGTAAAATCTCGTGGCTACGCAATCTCCGTGAGTGGTTTGGATGCAGTTCAATTGAACTATTCAGGCGAGTAACCAATAAAATTATAATTGCCAGAATGATTTCCAATCTCCGATAGGAGTGGAACTTGAAGAAGAAGAAGACTATCACAACAAGATCAATTGATAAAGTAAAAAATTGCAAGATTAAAAGTGATTGTTGAAGATCTATTTCCAGCAACCGACCCGATTATTTAAGTAATATCTTTAACGTGGCTATAAGCATTAAGAGAATAGAAAAGAGAAGAGAGATAGAAACATTTTAAATCAGAATGTTACCTGTATCACACCTCCGCCAGGACCTTCTGATTCATTAAGAAAATGTTCTGGAAGTCCAAGCATTTTAGCTAACCAGTCCATCATTCTTACTTCCAGTTCAACGCAAGCAGGATTAGATTGCTAAAATGTAACAAGAATTACCATTTACCCAGACTAAACTCCAAAATATTTACAAAACTATAACTTATATCACCTGTGTTAATACCACAGGTGATTTATTATTTTATAAATATTAAAACTAATTGTTTTCTCACTTGTATTCTTACCCAATCAGTAGAAATCGAACCCAATCCGGACAAAAACAGCTCTCCAACAACTCCTGGGAACGAATTCGCTGTTGGAAAGTAAGCATGGAAATGCGGCGAGTGCCAGTGGGTCAATCCCGGAAGAATTACTCTGTCGACGTCGGGAAGTATATTTTGCCATGGTTCTCCAGAAATAGGAGCTAGTTCTGGAATTTCGTTCTGTAGATACCCTGGCTCTACTGACGGTAGAACCTTTCTGTAAAAAGATATGCCAAGTTACATATAAGAAAACAGTTATCATATACGTAACAAAAAATTTCTGACTTCCTATTGAGCTAACAGAGTTTTTCTCTTGCTGTATTCTTTTTTTATATTTAGTATCATTTGTTAGCTTGTATTTGGACTCCGCCCAAAGAATAAATAAAAGAATTAGGAAAAATCTTTACAGGATTGCATACTGGACGTTTTTCTAATTTGTAAAGCGAATATAAAGGCTATTATTTAAATCAGCCTATACCTGCTTAGCATAACTTTGATTTGGGTAATCGTGATCCTTTACATTTAGGAATATAAACAATAGGTTGATATCTGTATTATACACAATGTTCAATCCATTAGGGTAATAAATAGGCTTCGGCAAATATGCATATTGCATATTTTGCATATTGTGCATATTTTATGCAAATATTTCATATTTTGGCATATTTGTATAAAAGTTTGCATAAAGTGCATAAAAGTTCAGATTTTTATACTGTATTTGAAAATTTTTAAACATACCAATTTATTTCAATTCTTGTATAAAATTTTGTAGTCATTTTAATCAATGAATGATCTAAGTACGTAATCTCTACAGGTACAAAACATTTTTAGAAAGTCTCGATCACTGAGGCATTCAGTTATTGGATAATCGCTAAGGGTTCGCTCATTTGCATTTTATGATCTAATCCCCAAATCTATCTACAATTTATTGTATCTTAACAGCAGGTAAACGGCTAATAGTTTTGTTCCTAATTTAGGGATTTTCCAAAATCTCCCAGTTTATTGAATTATGTATCTAAACATTTCTAATTTGATGCTCAGATTTGTAAATAATTTTTGTTTTGATATTCAAAGCGTAAACACTCGTTGTGCGTAACAAAAAGGAAGATTGTGATTTTATAATGCCTAAAACAACCAGTGCTTCAACTTGGATTAAACCTTATAAAGAGCCGTCTATGGATATGGGAAAAATCTACTGTTCAGTTTGTGGCAAAATTGTAAGTACCTATCTAATATTTTCTATTAAATATCTAATATTTCATACATACAGGGTGTTTCCAAATGACACTTACAACGTTTGACTGTAGATACTTCTCGAAAAATTGAACAAAACGATATAGTTAATGAGGGGTCAAACTTATTTACTTTTCGAGATACAGGGTGTTAGAATTAAAAAAAATTAAATTCTTTTAGTTAATAACAACAATAACTTTAAAACTAATAAACGTATTTACTTGAAATTTAGTACTCGTAGGTTGTTTTTAAATGAAAAATAGCTTCCTTTAGTGAGAAAAAATTGTCCATGGTACAATACAATGGTGTGTATTTAGAAAAATTTTTCACCTTTACTTTTTTTTATGAAGTCAGCTATTCTAAAACACAATTATTTTTATTGTAATTGAATCAACAAAAAAAACTTTTGTTGAATTTTAAAATAAGTTATATGATGTACTAATGGTTAGTAACAAAAACTAATTTGTGGATTAATACTGCATTTAAAACACTTAGCGAGTGTTTTTTTTTCCAAACCAGTTATTTGATTAACCAAAAACACCTTGTATATTTCATAAGAAATATAACGTTCACATAAGAAATAATGTGAACGGGCTATACTCGTCGGTGTTAATTAATATTAAGGAAGAAATTGCAGATAATTATTTTTACATATCTGTAGACGAAACCACTGATTCCTCAGGAAAGTATATTACTCATTTATTGATTGGTGTTCTTAAAGAAGATACCTTACCAAAATCTCATCTTATTTCATGCCAGCAACTTAAGAAAACAAATGCTTTAACAATTTCGCGTTTTATACAAGAAACATTAGCAACTTTTTTTCTTCCGTCAACTATTCCTTCTAATAAATTACTGCTTATTTTATCGGATGCTGCTCCTTATATGGTGAAAGCAGGACAAAATTTAAAAATATATTTTCCCAGATTTAATACATGTTACTTGTGTAGCGCATGGTTTAAACAGAGTTGCAGAGGAAATATGAAAAAAGTTTCCTCTTGTAAATACCATGATATCCAGTGTCAAAAAAGTATTTCTTAAATCTTCTATAAGAATTCAACTTTATAAAGAAATGCTACCTAACATTCCTCTTCCACCACAACCTATTTTAACGCGATGGGGAACATGGTTAGAAGCAGCTAATTTTTATGCAGATCATTTTGTTAAAATAAAGAACATAATTGATACGTTAACAGATGAAAGTTCCCAATCTCTTTTGGATTCTAAACAAACTTTTCAGAGTAACTTGCTTTCACAAGAACTTTCATTTATAAAATAAAATTTTAGTTTTGTTCAAAAAACAATTACTCAGTTAGAATCACCAAAACTGTCATTGTTCGAAAGTACAGCATTAATAAAAGAATTTGCGTCACGTTGTCGGAACGTTAGAGGTAATATTGGAAAAGATATTTTAAAAAAATTTGAAGCTACTATGGAAAAAAATAAAGGTTACCATATTCTTTCTGAAGTAGTCAGTGTTCTAGCTGGAAATATTTCGGAAACAATTAATTTAGAACCAAATGTTTTGGTTAGTTTGAAAAATGCTCCCGTTACATCAGTTGATGTTGAACGAAGTTTTTCCATATATAAATATATGTACTCAGACAGAAGTCACAAGTTTTTGTTAAAAAATTTTGAACACCACTTGGTCATTTATTGTTACCATAATTCTAAATAAGTTTATTCATACTTAAAAATGATGAAGTTACTTAAAACAAATGTAAATCTTAATGAATAGTAGGAAATATTTAGTTATATACACTTTTTTTTTAAATAAAATTGTTACTATTTTACGATTTTTTTATTTATTTGTATGCATATTTTGTAAAATATTTGCATATTTTCGGGTAAACACGTGCATATTTATGCGCATATTTTCTACATTTTTATTTGCATATTTGCCGAAGTCTAGTAATAAATAATACCAAAAACAACACCACGAATGAATGGCAAATGACAACCAAAACCGTTAGATTAATCGAAACGCTAAAGTACGGTGGAGAAAAGTTGACCTAAGATCTACGTATTTTCTTTAAGAATGTCGAGAAAGTATATTGATAAAGGAGGAAGACCCCAAAACCTGATGAAACTAAGGACAAAAATTATATCGCAGGAAGTGGAAAAAACTGGAATATGTGAAGAACAACAGGGCCTTCGATGAAAGAGGTACATTTATTATCCGCTAGATAATAGGTCATCGAATTCAACAAAACTGCTTAAGTACATTTGCTTCGTGGAACTTACGAAGGTGTTTGACAAAGTAAGACGTCTTAGATGTCTTGAAAACATTAAGATTTAGACATATAGAACCCAGAATTAGAGCAATGATCAAATAAATTAATACCAACAATAACACGTTTGTAGCAGTGGAAAACTGGCTAACAAAATATTATATAGACAAGGATAAGACACATTGATAGTGTCAGTCTAATGTTCTGTAATATGTATTAATAGTATTTGCTATGCTGATGAAGATAAGTTACGACCATTACTATACAGGTTTCAAAACATTACAGAAAAATTCAATGTGATAGATAGATTCAATTAGGTGGATTTTGGCGTATTCCATTTTTAAATCTATTATGCTCGTCTAGCCCTAGATTACACTCTCCATCCTAACTGTTTAAAGCTTATTAGCTTCAACAGCCTACTTAGCTTAAATTGCTTTGGTATTTGCTTATTAGGTTCGCTGTATATAAGGGCGAATATTCTGTAATGAACTGTTTCGTCTATCTCCAACATTCCAGAGATTTGTGAGCTAACCAATTTTTGCAACAATTAAACATGGTTATATCTATTGATAAACGCAGTATATAACGGTGGCATTAGAAGCTTTGGGAGAACTCGAGAAAAGAAATACCTAATAGAAAATGTAAACCCTGAAAAATCTTGAAGTCTATAAGGAAAAATACCAACGAAAAAGTCCAAATACTATGTCCAAAAGTCCAAATATTAAAAACTCAAAATAATGAATGAATTGAGCTTACAATAAGAATAAAAATAAACAACAAAAAATTAGGAAGACCAGGAAAAATCATTAATGAACTTATTAAGTATGAAACAGCAAAACTACTCATAATCGTACACGATATGTTCAATAACGTATAAGTTACCAGAAGGTATGGTTACCACAAAACGATTATAAAAAACGATAAAGGAAATAGAGATAACCCAAAGGTTATTAGAAACCTTAAAAACCTATACACAACAACAAAAGGTTTACTGCAGGAATGCTTCTTAACTCCGACGTTACTCAAGATACTCCTAAAACAAATATTAACCCCATGGAAAAGGAAATCCAAAGATATGTGTATACCGATCCAAGGCAACTTCTTGTACACGCTCAGTTTTGCAGATGGTCAAGTGGTAACGGCTCACGATGAAGATCTATCCTATATGCTCCGAAAACTACCAGAGCAATACATAAAAATATACTGTAAATAAACCTAGTAAAGACCAACTACTTGACAACAGAACAAGAACCAGTGGAAAACCACTGAGCAAGAGACAATTCATAGATTAGCATAGATAAAAATATGCGCCAAACAAATAAACGGTGTACTATGGAATATATATGAGAGATGAAGTAGACGAGGCCACGGAAAACCAAGATATTAGAGATGAAGAATGACAGGAAAGAAAGTACTGGAGACGTTAGCTGAAAGAAATAAGGCGGCGACATGATTATGGATGTTAACTTCCATCTTTTGTATAATAGAGGAGTTTCCCTAAATATTATAAAAACTATCGAAAACATCTGCCAAAACAACAAAATGAAACTCAGAATAGATGGACAACTTACAGAAAATATAGAAATAGACGACTGATTAAGATAAGGGGACTCATTGAGCCTCATGTTCTTTAATTTAATTATGGATAAAATCATTAAAAGCGTTAACAAAAGAAGTGCATACCGAATGGGAAACCAAAAAATAAAAAGACTCTGTTACAGATTTACCATGAGAGCAAAAGATTTTAATATGA